ATTCTCTCTCTCTCTCTCTCTCTCTCTCTCTCTCTCTCTCTCTCTCTCTCTCTCTCTTTCTGTCTCTGCCTTTGTTTTAACGAGCGAACTCACGAGATTGGAACCGCAGCTTCCGAGCTTCGAGTCATAATTTTATATGGCGTGCATATGCATTGGTGAATACGGAGTAATTTTAATGAGGGATATGTCCTGCATCGTTAATAGTCTTTATTTGTTTTTAATGATTTCCTGGTATGTCATCTGATATTGACACTAGAATACATAAAAAAAGGAATATATTCTTTTGAAAATCAATGCTAAGCCTACAGCAATGTATTATGTAAATATTTTATAATTAATTTTTTTGCGGTGATGATCAACGATGGTGAAATCGATTAACCAGTGAGTTTATCTAAAGTACTAAGGAGACATATCATCATGAAAAAACTTGAGACGAATATTTATTGCTGTTAATTATATTGAATAATTGAGTCGTCGTATTATGAGTTATCATCGGTGATAAGATGAATATTGACATCGAGAAAAAGTTATGTAAATCAGGAAAAGAAAGCAGTACATATATTACAAGTAAAACTATCATTTAGATTGATTGATTTAGATTGTTCGATTATATAAGCAATCAGCGATGGAAATTTATTCGATAAAAACTCAAATGACCAGTTAAACATCAACATTCATTAATGACTTGCGCAGAAAAAGCTACACAAGATGAATTTTTTTTATTGTCAATGTCCAGCAAGTTATAGAGACTATCGTGTAGCTAAAGGTTGAGCTCTGACCTCGAGAACAATGCATCGCTCAGCGATGTTGAATTGCCGAAAAACGGGAAGCTGAAACGCCACCGCGGCATCGAGTGAATTTTGTAACGACGAATTTTCCGGCAGGAGTGGTGTCATACGGGTACATCGCCGCAGCTACGCAGGCATGAGGGGAAAGAATATGATACCCGCATAAAGGCGCGAGGCCGAAATCTTAGATTACACGTGTGCGCGCACCGGATTGAAAGGAGGTAATCATTCAAATCGAGAAAGTGAGTAGAAGGCTGGAAGTGTGCTGGCAATAAAACTCGCAGTTTGCTAATCGTGTGTACATATACGATTGGCTATCGAGCGACGGCGTGCATTATAGGTATTACGTAGAACGAGCGCGGACGGACTAGAGTGAAAAAAAAATGGTAAAATCAGGCAAGATGGCGCTACGGGGATAAACAATCGGCCGAGCGGCGGCGAACATTGCGTACGCGCATGATAGCTTTGTGGAACGAGCTCACCTTGCCACGCCTCGTATCGCGCTTTGGCGGAGAGCGCGAGAGCCGTTATCACGGCGCGCTAATCGAATTGCTGCGTTCCCCGTGCCATTGGCCCTTTTGGAGGCCCTTTCACATTCTCTCTTTCTCGCGCGCAATTAGATTAATGATTCCCGGCGCGGCCGCGCCGCAACCGATATCGCCGTGTCTCGCGTTAGCCATTGTGCAAGCGCGCGCGCGGCCGCGTGCGTTAACGCGGGTGTTCCTTCTCCGAGGTCGCGCCGCCTGCTGTTGCGAGAGCGTTCTCGCCCCGATAACGCCGTGGCCATTTTTTTTATCTCCACATCGCGGTATCGCGCGCAAATTTGAATGTTGCGCGCTTGCGCAACGCCGCGCGCTTTTTCTCTCTCCCAAATCAATTAATTAGATTAGATTTATAAGCGATCAAGTTCATTACTTCGAGCTGCCGCAGCCGTCGGCTGGTGTATTAAATTGCTACTTGTGCGCGAGAGCGGCGCCCGAGCGTTATTGGATACTGCCAGCGGGATCGCACGCTCAGTAAGAGAGAGAAAAGGCTACAATGGCTTTTTGTAAAACCGCCAAAGATAAATAAGAATCTAGTGCAACGTTTATTAACAGTTATAATTACTATGAAATTACAGGCTCCGCTTAATTATTCTTTACCGCACTTTATAGCGCATTATCCTGCTTCGAAATGGCCGCGCGATTCGAGCATTTCAACAATCTACTTAACAAGGCATCAAAACTACCCGCTCACATTGTTATTGCCGTAATCGGTCTGCTGGTTAACGAGCCTGCCAAAATAATAATGTCGAGCCAAGTTATCCAAAGTCAATTGAACGGTGATCCAGCAAAGAAGCGAGCTGCGCCCACCGACAGAGACAAGGTAGATGCCACGGTTGGCAGCGGCCACCTGCCTAATAAATTGATCGCGCGCAAAGGCGGCCGAAGAAAAAAAGTCGGAAGACGTCGCGGGACGCGTATCCAGAACGCAGCCGCAAATAGGAACGAGAAAATGAACGAGCGAGGAGCGGAGAGAGGGCACGTAATTCGGTACGGCAGTGCGGGCATGGCATTCTTTGAACTTTCCTCAATAATTGCGGAGCCCGGCGCAAGCGACCGCGAAGCCAATAACCCGAAGAATCCCAAGTTCGCGTAGAATTCGCGGCAGGGAAAAGGGAGACAGGCGGCCCGCGAGGAAGAGGCGACGCGGCACAATCGAGCTTAGGATTATTGCAAGCGCTCGCGCGCCCACGCTCGCCGCGGCGAATCCCCGTGGCGCGCTGCTGTAATAAAGTCGCCGTACAATTGCCGCCCAGCGCTCTCCGCTGCCGCACACCTCAACCGTCTTTCCTCGGCTAAACAGCCCGTTTTCATCACGGCCAAGTGCGCGCGCGCTCGACGCTTTTTCCATAGGCTCGGCCTTATCTTTCTCTCGTGGCTGGCTTGGAAACAGCACTTTGCAGTGCTTGCAAGTCGAACGCCATGTTCGGATAAACATTACACTTAACGGAATTCGGTGTGATTAACTTTAGGATAATCGAGAGGCCTCTTTTTATAATGAAATGTTGGAAAGTACGGTCAGTCACAAATTATTTTACAACACGGTTGTGTACTCAGTAAGACCATTAGCTTAAACCGCTAGTAAATGCGTGATACAGCCGCATGTTCCACTTATAACGACATGGTAGTCCAATGCTAAAGGTGTTGACAGTTACGAGTAGAATCAACGCTAAATCTGTCTTCTCGTGGCTGAATATTTAAGAAATACATATCCAGATACATCCATAGGAACCACGATACAGTGCTTAAATCAATCATGTGTCACGGCAGTTTTCATTCAAATTAGAGGTTACTTTTATAAATTGCGTTGTTCAAACCGAGTAATAAAGTTCATATGAAAAATGATACCAGACGTTTGTTTTTAAAATTTTATGTGAACAATAGTAGCCATTAAAACGCGCTCCGGGCGTAAGTTGCCGAATTGAGCATTAAACTCGATTCGATCCCGAACATTCTACACCATTTCAAATTTCATAATGTACGAATCAAATTGGAATACTAATTGACTTCAGATCACCTATATCGGATCACTAATAAAAAGTATACATCAACTTACTTGGGAATTGGTATTGTTCTGTTACTATGGTGTGAACGTAAATTTATCACGTCCTAATTTAGCCACTTAATCTTCCAAGGATGGTCTGAACGACCACGTGTACTTTTGAAAATAAGACCGAAATAAACACTGGTTGCTTCAAAGTACGAAGTGAGCTTGCAGACATGAACTCGTTTTGAAGTTACTTCGATGCGCTTCAATAATTGAGCGAAAAAATTGACTCACCGTCAAAGGTTATACCTGTTTGTCTAGCAATTATAGCCTCGTTGAGTATTCCTCAAGTAACAATGAAAAATAATTTTCTCACACATATGCAAGTTTTACCAAACACAACTTCTTCTATTGACGTATATGTACTTTACCAGGTGATAGTCATGCGGTAACGTCAATCGAGAGATTGCGTTAATCATTTCTGCATCTTGCGTCTCGTTAAAGTGGTAACTGTCTTAACGTTTTATGAATTAGATAGTAGTAACTTCATAACAATAATAACATTACTAAAATTAAAAATATCCAATGCTAATCGTATGGCTTTGAGGTTTTCCTTATTATTCTTTCAAAAGATTCTATGAATTTTCCGACTTTATCGGAATTCAGCATGATTTGCATCTATTTTGCATAAAGAACTCATCTTTTTAGTAAAAATTGACCGCACGTCGTTATTTTTATCACGATATCGTCTACACGCAATAGTCAATCTGCCATTAGGTATTTGAAAAATATTCCCTCGGACGCTGGAATACTAAGGATCTTACAAAAGCTTTACGATCAATAATTATAAATAATTTAATAAAAAAATAAAATGAAGGTGAGTATGAGCGTACGAATGCAACCGATAACATCTTTTTCTCTCAGAACACAGAAGGGATGAGTCACGAAAGCGATCCTTCGAACTTTTCCTTCTCTGCGAATATGAGCAGAAAAATCTTTCATATACAATAAAAAGGTCGATGACACAAAAGAGATCTGGATGCTACGCATCATTTGGCAAAAAAGCCGGGTTCGCGCTAAATCATCTCATGCAAATGCGTGCCTGCGAGAACGTAGTCCAAATTAAAAAACTAGAAATAAATGGAATGAATGGCCCGGTAAAGTACACCGAAACTCTCGCCATTGTATTTCGAAATTGAAGCTCGTAACGAATAATATGAAGTTCGTTTCCGATAAAGTTATTGTTTGAAATATACTGGAAAACGCAAGCTATAATCATTCATCAAAAGTTGAAAAGAGAATGAGAGATGCGAAGAGAGAAAAATGTGCAACTCCGAAGGCTGGCCTTATCAAAGCAAAACTTCACGGGCCGCAACAACCCTCTCCATAGGCCGTCCATCAGGCGCGCAAATACAAAGAGAGCGCTTGCGATCGGCGAGGATAACGCCGTGCTAAGCGCCTCTCTCTCTCTCTCGCTCTCCCTTGGCAGCGAGCAGCAGCAGCAGCCGCAGCAGCAGCAGCAGCAGCAGCAGCAGCAGCGGCAGCGAAAGGTGGCCGCGGAGTGGAGGCAAAAGAGAGCCAGGGAAGGAGGATGAGCCGGCTCGCTTGCTCTCTCTTGCTCTCGCCGCAGAACCATTGGGAGCCTCGTGGCGAACTGACGTCTGTGTCCGTTCGTCCGTCCGCGCGAATCCGTTCGCTCGCTTTATTCGCACTTTGTTGTACGGCACGAGCGCACCTACGGTAAGCAGCAGCTTGTGATGGCTGCAGCACGTGACTTCCACTTACGTACGCGCCTTGCCGTCGAGTGAGACAGTTTAACCGTCGTTTGCCTATTTTTCGGTAGTGCGACAATTCTCGGTCTTGCAAATTTATTGTTATTTGAGTGCGGTGCCGATCGATAGTTGTTCAAGAAAAAGGTGACACAGTGTACGTGAAACTTTGCCAGCTACCAGCCCAGCGGATTACCACCGGCAAAGTAAGATTCCATTCGTTTTTTGCCCTCGACGTTTCTGACTTTGGGTCTGATTGTTTACTCAGATTCGGCCTTTTTTCATCATACGATACCCACTGCGCTCCTTATCGCTAAAATAATAATGTACCTGATATTAAATTGCCATAACGCCACCATCGGATATATTTAGGGGCTTTTCATTACTAAATAATATATGCAGTTTGCGAAAATGCCTGATATATGCAAATATGATTTTCATTTGAGTAAATAATATATTGTGCTAAATTTAATCGTCATCAATAACAATTAAGTATTGTTAATAATTCACATTGATTATCGACATGGAAAATTGTAGTGATTGTCATGTATCATCGATGATCTCTTGACCGATTAAAAAATACAACACGTGTAATTTTTCGGACACAGTCAATGATATTCAATCAGACCGTTGTCAGATAAAATGACAATTATCGTGAATTATGATAATCGATATCAACGATTCCGCAGAAAAATGCATCCATTCGACTCCCCTTTATCAAATGTTTAAATAGCACTCCCACCAAATTTTAAAGCTGCGTTTCTTTTGCTCGTTCCTTTTTTCAACCGATTCTGAGACTTCTAAGGGCAAAATAAAATTGTCATGTCAGCGTATTAAGATGGGCATAAGTATTTTTAGGTTCTATTTATAGCATAATTTATTAAGATAAAAAAATTAGAGGTCTGTATTGAATTTCATCAAATTAGTGCCGAAAAAAATGCATTTTAACAGCAATTGGAAACATCTACTGCTTTGATAATTCATAATACTTAAAATCAGCTTTATCGATGAAAATGAAATACATGCTGCCGGAAAAGTATGAAAATTTCTTTAATGCTATGAATTTTTAATTAAAATATCATGAAACAAAAAACAGTAATCAAGATAATGCGTTTTCTATGAAAATATTTTTTTGCGGTGTAGTAAACAGTATACTTTTTTGGTGAATTTTTCGCTTTACATTTGAGATTTATTAAAAATTTTAATAAATTTTCAATTTATGTTTTTAAATAAAATTAAAGCACACACCTAACTATTTAATATCGGATTATAATTTCAGAACAACATATTAAATGAGCTATCATCAATAAATAAAGAATTACGCGGAGACTTGTAAAATTAAATCATGTATCGATGTACGTTGTAGAGTCGATCAATAATGTATAAGAAAATTAATTAGCAATACCGAGTAACGAGAAAATATGCGTGTGTGTAAGCATGAGTGTTCAACTTCTAATTTCCTACAATTATCGTAGAGATCCGAGCTATCTCTTAGTATCTCTTAACACCTTGAACTGAAAAAAAGTCTTAATGCTTTATTGAACAATTGACAATTTGCTTATCCCTGCATTTAAAATGAGCTTTTCTTACCTACAACCTTCGACGTTTTCGTCACGTCTGTCATTAATCATCGAAGGAACACGCTGAACGCCGCTTAAGTTCTTATTATTATTTATCGAATTCATCTAACACGGGACTTGCTTATATGGCCTCGGGACACTTTGCTGTATAATCGAAGCATTGGTTCAAGTTCAATTCTGTTGTTCAGAGAATCTTTTCACGTGTTGGAAAAAACATCCTTAAAACATTATTGACGTTGGTATGTGTCGAGTAGCGAAGCAAACGTGATAAAAAATTATATGTATTATAAATCACTTTGCAATGTATTGTCTGCAAGAGTAGTACAAAGATATATAAAATATTCACAAAATAAATTTATAGTCAAGTGTCATTAGCAACTCGATGTTCACATGAGTTATTTAGCGACAACAGCAGCCAGGCACTATACAGGTCTAACTAAATCTAATATGCAACATTGTTTTTTCAAATCGCGATTACGTAATATCCAATTCGTCATTCAAGAATTCAAAAAGAAATGCAAAAGTTATTCTACCTAAAAGAAACAGAAACAATGTTGTTTGTTGGTACAAATTCGCAAATAGTTTGGAGTTTGAATATATCGTCGTAAAAACAAACGCAAATCGATGAAACATGTCGAAAGCCAAGCAACTGAAAAGATAGGGCGCGAATATACGTCGGGTATATACGCAAGGACACGACATTATTCATCGTTCGGATGTTTGCTCGCGATTTGTTTCTCACGTCTCGTGGTAGCAGCTCTGAACTTTTCTCAGGCAAACTCGTATCACTGACAACCGATCGAAAAAAATAAATAGACTGAGAGTCACATGTCTCTGGCAGGCGTGACTAACACGACCCTTGGCAAACTACGAAAATCCATTGGCATGCTTGCTGCGTAACCTCCACACAGTTGCACTTTGATTCCAACGATACATCGTTTATTTTACTTGACACTGAGAGAAACAACTAGAGAAGACTACGTATGAAAGTAACGAACAATCGTTTGTATAAATTTTCCTCGTAACAATTGCAAAATAGGATTTGAGAGACACTGTGTTGTTAACTTTGATGTTCCGCGAGTATTAACTCAAACGACTTTTTTCCCTCCTCACTCTGTTTTGCCGGCCGTCAAAATTATACTTCTCGAGCTTTTTTTTTAAGCACCCGCAAATTCGACAGTCATTCTTTATTTTCGCACGATAAATGTGCACGTGAACGATAACTCATAAATCGAGAGAAAAAGAGAAGAAAAGAGATACATCAAAGGGAGTTTCTCGAAAAGTTTGCGTCACCTCGCGCAGCTTGAGAGTTTGTCTTTCACTCTCTCTCGAGCTTTACTCTTTAAAGATTATTGCACCTCGTAAAAACTCTAACTCTTCATCAAAAATTTCGTTTTCTTATTTCCCCCTAGAAGTCGGCCAAACAAATAATTAACTTGCGGCTCAGACTGTTTTTTTTTAATGAATCAATCCAGTAAATTGAGAATAGTCTCTCGAGAGTGACATAATCATAAACTCCTTCGTTTCTTCGTTTTTTTATTTTGTTCTTTTTTTGTATCACAGCAATTGTATCGCGTACACTTTTATAAAGATAAATTATTCATTATTACCAGTGCACCGCATGCATAAGATTTAATGCGAAAATCTCAACCTTGGCAAAAGTCATAAATTTTGTTTATTAAAAGTGTACTTAAAATTGTAAAATTTCCGGCAGTGTGAATTGCTTTTTCCAACATTTATTAGCTGAAAATCAGAAAAAAAGAAGCTAATCGAACTTTCACCGAGCAGTAAAAAACGATTGACCGAAAAACAAAGCTGGATAAATAAGCGTATGGTGTATGTTGCGAGAATTGATCATTGATCGCCAAATACCTGAGACAATGGTCGCCCGCATTCCGAGTGAATGATTCATATGGAGCGCGAACGCGCAAGCTGCCTCTTTCCATGTCTCAATACACGCGCGCGTGCGAGAGTTGAAATGGGTTAAAAAGATTCTTCGGCGCTGCTGCTGTCGCTCCGAAGGAGAGCGGGCGCGTACACGTAAATATAAATAAAGGAAACAAAAAAAAAGAAAGAAAAAACAAAAAGAAAAAAAAAACGCAAGCGCCACGTGTACAGCACACAGTGCCGCCGTGCAGAGAGCAGCACAAAGGGGAATTAGAAAGGATTGCCTCCTGCGGCAGTACCCTATCTATGACGTCAGCCCGCGATTAGGAACGCGTTGCGAAGTCCTGAGCTCGCGCTCGCGAGCGAGTCCTCAACGTAGCTAGTCCTTGAACCTCCATTTTTCTTGTAGGTCGCTATATCGACACTCGCTCCTTCGATGCCCGCCTCCCCCCCCCCCCCCTTTTTTTTGTCGTCGTTGTCTATGCATACCAGATTATTGTTATTCCAAAGCGACGCCGACCATTTGTTAGCCCCTTCCCCTCCGCAGTCGGACACAACACACAAAACACGCGCGCGCACACACACGCAAGCACACACAGTGAAATCGATCGCACTCAACGCGGGCACGCGCCTTAATGATTGTGATTGTATACCCAGAGGTAGAGAAGAAAAGTTAAGACTGGTTAGATGATAAGGTCATTAAGAGAGAACGATTTCGATAATGACATTCTAATTTTATACGCTTCACTCATCGGTATTGGTATTTATAATACCAGAATGCACACACATACACACATACCTTTTCCTTTCATACATGAGGTCCTATCAGGAATATCTCCTTGGTACAAAAAATATGCTAATAATACCAAGTTCACGGGGATTCCCTGCTTGTTGCGATCTCAGCCGTGCGATAATAGACTCATAATCAGCTTGTAACTAATAAAACTTTTAATAGCGATTACGTTACAAGTCTGCAGCTTTTTTACAATAATTAACACTCGTAACGCCAATTCGTTATTACAAACTCACTCTTTAATTACAGACGAATTCTCATTAAAAAAAAATTTCATTTCGAGAAAAGGGATAAATGTTGAAATTGTAAGATATTGTTGGCGATCTGAAAAAAAATACTTGGTGATAAACTTGATAGATATTGATTTATCTTACATTGGACGTATCGTTGAAACAACGTTCTTTTCGATACTTTTTTTTCTCTTATACTGCCGGAGACTTCGACAGTTATCTCTTGTTGTATCGTGTTACGCTACTTTTATTTCATATTTTATGGACCATTCCGGTAATCTTTGTTTTGTAATTTATCTCTACGTGTGTGATATTCTGTGATAAGTCATAATTGACGTTTGATTTAATAACCAAGTGAATTTCTTTTTGAGAAGGCACACGCTTATTAAATTTTTCGCCAGAAATCAGCTAATAGTTTCTAAGTGATAGTAAGGAGAGGTAACCTTACGCAAGTAATAATTTTAGAATGAAACCAATCAAGGTACCTTTCTTGCATGCGAATTTAGCAGCGGTTCAACGTTCTTATTTCCAAATGCAAGCGATAGCATGGCGATTTCATAGCTACGTAATTTCGTGAATGGGTTACAATTACGCGGCCAAAAATTGACACTCGGCGAAATTTAGCGCGACCGTTTCCATTTCCGAGCTCGCAAAATTAAATATAAAGACTCGCGTGCGTCTTCAGCTCGAGAGATATTTCCAGTTGTTTACGTAGCCCTCCCCAGTGTCATACTTGCGTAAGCGGCTGCACCGAGGCAGCAGCAGCAGCAGCAGCAGCAGCAGCACCGAGCTCCGCAGATATTCCCGAAAATTCGATGATCGGCTGGACTTTGGACTAATGCCGCCACGATAACAATTAGGAGTGAATGCGGAATTATTACGTTGCAGGGGCACAATCGACCATAATATCGGCGAGCGTAAATTACGAGCATTTTGAAATGCGTGCTTGTGATTCACTTTTATCGACCTTATTTTCTTATGGATCGTTGCATCATTTTCAAAGCCGGCATGACCGTGATAAATCAATCTTTGAGAGAAACGGCTAAATCTGAATTCATATTAAAATATCGAAATTCCGTACTTTCAACTGATTTTGCGAGCGATAATCGCCCGGCGAACATGATAATTCTCCTCATAACCAGAATATAAACGACCAGTCGTTGAGGGAAGATATCGATAGAGGAAAGCTCTTGCGCACGTATATCGCAGACAGGCGTAATTTCGCGTGTATATAAGGGCAAAAAGCGCTCGGAGCGGATCGACGACACGCGAGTAATGCATTTAATCGGCAGGTCGGCTCGCGACCACCTATAACGTCGAGGACTCGAGCAGCGCTGTGTGTATATATTGTCGTGCCTCGGCCCCCGCCGAAGCGAGAGAAAAACAGATTATTCATCATGCTGCTTTTAAAGTGAACTGGCTACCGTGCAACGCTCTTGCGGCTCGCTATTTGCCGTTGGAATCCGTTGTATTTGGTTTTTATCCCCGCCTATCCGGAGATAAAAAAGCTCCGTTGAAACCCAGTTTGTTCTTGTCGGTTTTATCGAGGACGAAATGTAGGCGCGCAGGCAGCAGGCGCAGGGCAAAAGATAACGTAGAGGCAGTGTCGCCCGTTAAGAGTTTCGCGATATTACGCAACATAAACGTCCGCGAGGATCGACAACGTATAAATCTGCGCGCGCGCCGAGTGCCGAGATAGTTGGCGTGTACACGGTGTATCTCGTGGCGATCGGCCCAGAGGATAGAATTTTTCGCTTGGCGGCGCATCATCATCATCATTTTCATTTCCCATCCCTTAGCGGGGCACTACGTCAAGATGTCAGTGCCGCGACCTATGGGAACGGGAGAGCGAGCGAGCGAGCGGGCGAGCGCCGGGTAATGGGCTTACAAAGCGTAACAAACTGATCTGCCGAGGTCAGTTGCTTGCTCGCGAGAGAGAAAGAGAGAGAGAGAGAGAGAGAGAGCGAGCCAAGCAAGCACGGACGGGCAATAAACACACGCCGAGATAAATGGCTAGCCACCCCGCGAGACGGGCCCACGGGGGAAAGTGTTTTCTCATTTCTCTCTCTCTACTCTCTTCTGTTTGCTCTTGTTTGGCTGTATACGTACTGCACGTGTGTGATGATGCACCTAGCCATCTGTCTATATACTTGGCCCGGCACTATTACTGTCTTTATCTACTTATACGTTCGGCTCCACTTTTCTATATGCGTTAATGTCCGCGCAAAGCCATATGACTTATGTGTATGAAGATGCTAGCTTGATGGAGTAATTGATGAGGAGCAATATTGTCGGGTGGGAGAAAGAGGGGGAGAGATAAAGATCGCGCGACCGCTGGTTGCAGAACGGTCTCTCGGTTGAACGAAAGTACATAGATATCGACCGCGCAAGGTCGAGCTCGCTGATTATCTCCGCGTTCATTACATTAAAATCGTTTTAGCCGGGGCGAGCGAGAGAACGCCATCAAGACAATGCGATCGTTTGAGCTCTGTATCCACAATATATATGCCGAGAGTGGCCGAGCAATAAAAGTGTATCGCGATACGATATCTGACTGCACAATTTGATCTTTCTCTCTCTCTCTCTCTCGCGCGCGCAGAGCTCTTTCTATTTGAGGCCGCATCTAGACTTGGCATCGGGCAATGTTTCACGGCCGGCCGGCTTAAAGCGCGAAAGTACAACTGACAAGCTGCCCTCGCTCGCGAGGAGGCTTTACGAGAGCGCCCGCTTGTTTTACAGCGCCTCGTCAGCCACTACTTTCGCGCGAGCTCACCTCTTCTTCCTCCTTTGTCTGCTGTGCGTCGCACGTATACACCACCTCGCGCCGATCGTTAACCAACTCTCTCTCTCTCTCTCTCTCTCTCTCTCTCTCTCTCTCTCTCTCTCTACCTTGTTTATATTTCGCAGTCACCATCGACGCTCTCCAGCGGTGCTTGCAGCTTCTTTTTTCGTAAGCTCCACCGCTCTGTGAGAACTTGGGCTTTGTTTACACACCCAGTCGAGTTTCATCTTTTTCATGCTTCTAAACACCGTAGACATACGTTTGACGCGGTGGAGCGGCAATGCGACTTATCTCTTTAAACTGTCTTCAGCTCTCCGGCGATTGTGTGTTTCGCAATGCGCACGGCTGTACGTCTGACTTTGAGAATCATTGTGCAACGCGCTCTGCAACGCTCGGCCGATGATTCAGAAATTAGATCACTTTTGTATGTATTTATATTTCGACCAAATTACCCTGTGACCTCTTGCGTCGTTCACGGCGACAATCAATGAAAGCACACTACAATGTTCGGATGAACGATGAAAAAATTGTCGTCAATCATGAAAAATGATTCATCTTGATTTAAGTATTCTTGATCCAAGCTTAATGCTGAAAAATGTGTGTGGCATTGTTGCAGATGCCGCAAACGGTACCAACGGCCGTTGGCCTTTCGCCGTTGTTCGACTACAGTGCCTTCCAATTCGACCTCTCGTTACTGTCCGACGACTACGGCACTCAAACAACAACCACAAGCATCAACGCTACCGCGACAACGTTGTCGACCAATCATCTCCAAGCGATGAACAACAACAACAACAATAACGTCCTGAAGCCAATGCAAATCAAGCAAGAAGCTCACTCGCCGAGACCAGGTTCGCCGAGTTCGAGTTCGTGCACTTACGCCAGTCCGTCCTACCCGTGTCTCGGAGGCGAGCTGTCGCCCAACTATTCACGCGATGCCTCGCCCGCTTACCCCACCAGCCCTTACTATCTGCCGCAGAGTCCGCAGAGCGCTCAACTCTATCCCACGAGTCCCGAGCCAAGTCCTCCCATCACTGCCACCAGCAAGCCGCCTGTCAAGAGGGAGAAGAGCTTTGATCTTCTCACGATACTCCACGAATCCAGGTGAGTGCCGGCACCGCGAGCATCTGTTCCCATCGTTAGCTCGGCAAGCTCAGCTTCCCGAAAGCAGCGAAACAGTCTCAGTTTGTAAGTATTGCGTGTGAATTTATCCTCTTCAGACTGCTGGCCGAGAGCTTGGGTTACAAAGAAGACTCGACAGACTGCACGGTGCCCTGCACACCCCCGCGGACGGAGGAAGACATCTACAACAGCCTCGACGCCGATTTCTTCCCCAAGAAAGACGAATCCAATCCGCTGCTCAAAGAAATACTCTTCAAAGAGGAATCCAGACTGTCGCGCTCGTCAGCTTCTTCCTCATCGTCCTCCTCGTCGGCAGCTTCGACTTGCTCCTCGTCCTCGTTAGCTTCTTCGCCAGCGCCGCCAGCCTCTCTCGACTATGAGAAGTCGTCCCTCCGCGATTTACTTTTCCGAAATGCCAGCAACGTGAGCAACGTGACCAAGATCAGCGCCGAGGAGACGAGCACGGCGCTGAAGCTCGACACGTGTCCGGGGATCGGCACGCCGAAAGACGACTGCGACGAGGACGCGATGTCGAAGAGTGGCGATCACCAGCTGCTCAGAGAGGTGCTCCGGGACACGAGTTTCCAAAGGAAGTACAATTTGAAGCCCGTCGAGCTTGGCAACATCGGCACTGGTTACGTCGAAGAGATGGTCGAGCCTGGGGAATGCGTTGGCGACCTAGCGCGAGAACAGATCGAGCCCGTCTTGAGCTTGGCCATTCAGCAGCTGCAGAAAGACTTTGACAACACTTGCGTCGCTCTGGGCATACATCCAGGTGAGATTTTCGACGCGCGCACCAACAGCGCCGTAATTTATTGCTCGCAAATGACGCGCCTTCGGGAATAATAAATAAAAGCGCGCGATATACTTATGAGAAAAGATAAGCAATCGGCAGCTCCAGATAGTGTGACACAACTTTTCTATCGGATAGGTGTATTGCATTATAACTCAATAACGTGGCAGTACAGAGATGTGCTGTTGCGAGCCAGACAAGCGAGGGCTCGTATCGACACGAGTCATCTCGCGCAGCAGCAGTCAAAAGGAAAGGGGACAGAGCGGCATATGCGCATATATATATATTGTAATATCGCACGTCGTGACGAGGCGCCACGCCGATATTATTTATATTCCTGCAGCGCGACTCGCGGTCGTTTACGCTTTGCTTTCCACGGGGCAGCTTCGCGCCGAGCACTCGGTTGCTGCAAGCGTAACGGTGCGCTCGAACTTTCGTGGGAAATTGAAAGTGCCGGCGGTCTCTCGCCTGCGGAACGTCTAATTTTCAGGAGGAACCATTAGCAGCGCAACGCGGCTGCAATACGGCTGCATCGAGCCGCGGCCCACGGCGCGGGCATACGCGAGATGCTCTCGGAAATGCTCGGGCCCCGCGGGCGCGCGCGTGACACACGGCGCGCCGGCCGCTACCTTGCCGCGGGCCAGTCACGTTGCTCGATACACATTCCTTCTCGCGTCTCCTATCGGCTCGCCGCCTCGAGAGCCGCTGCTTTTCTTTCGGCTTCGCTCGCTGGGCCCGTGCACGCCGTGTGCGCTGCTTGCGAAAGCCGTTACGAGAGGCCCCAGACCAGACGCGCTGTCCCTCAAGGTCACCCGCCGCCAATGTCCCTTTTGGGGCCGCGCGCGCGAGAGTGCGTTCCCGTTGGCGAGCGCCAAATCGACCAAATTCAGCGGCTCTGCCGGCTATGACTGAGCGACCTACCGCGACACGGCAAAAAACCCTCGGACTTACTTCGTCAATTGAACTCAAACGGACGTTACGTGACTGGTGCGGCGTTCATAGAATTTCCGCTGGTTGTTCATGTCGCAAGCGCGCGCGCGCTCATTTCAAGAGCTCATTGATATTGGCATAGGGTACCGTGGCGGCGCGACGGGTCCAGAGGCGTGACGCTAGATGCCTCGATTGGGAACTCCCAGCGCTATTTTTTTCTACGACATTCCATTGGGCGGTCCATATTATACCGAGTACGATCTATCTCAGCAAAGCGCAAAAGGGATTTTCTTGACGGCTTTTGACTTCGAATACATTAAGCAAACATGCTACAGCTAACGAAGCAACGTATGATGATGCCTGCGCGGCTATGCTAATTTGGACGTGTCGTTTTTTCTCGCTATCGGTCTATTATTATACTTTCGTCTTATTTTTATGATTCATTCCTGACGAGGGATCGGAGACGTTCCGAGTGTGAAAAAAGTTGGCAAACTTCCTCGCGTCACTCCAAAAGTATGCTAAAACGCGGCATTGTTTTGTTGGCATTTTTCAGAGCCTTGCCGCTGGAGCGCGGTCGACGTTGCAGCCTGGGTTCAGTGGGCTCGGAGACAATTGCAACTTCCATCTGTACCACTGGAAAGCTTCAACGTGGACGGCGCTACCCTCGCCTCGTTTACCGAGGAGGACTTTTGTCAGAGAGCACCTCAGGTATGCAAATTACCACACGCGTGTGTGTACGTTTACATTGGCCCTCGGAGCTTGGCCGGTAAAATTTTGATCGACAGAGATTGATGCGTTGAAAAGTCCAGCGTAATTCGCGCGTATCGGCAAACATTTGAATATCAGCCGTGATATTGATGGATGACATCTGCATCATATCTGGGGGTTTTTGTCGAAGCGAATTTTACGAGCAGATTCCGTGACGCAAATCAAGAAGAATCGAAGGCCAATAATATTCCGCGCAAATTAAGAGATGCAATCGTGGGTGACTTTTGTCGAACTGGTGTAATGTCTTCGGGAAACGTCCCGCGTCACAGGAAAATAACTGATTCATGGCGTGGAAAATACGAATGAAAGTGTAACAACAAACATGAAATTACGCCTCCTCCGATAATTTTCTGAAAATAAAGCGAGTCAGTCCGAGCGCCACGCGACGAGCGATCGACGTGCGAGCTAGAGCGAGCGCTCGGCAGTCATTAAAGACGACTGCGAGGTATGTAATCGTCGCGATTTTCGCCTAAGTGGCAGGTGCGTGCCCGCCTATTAAATCCGCGACACTGCTCGTGCTCTGTTATCGAGCTAACAGGAAGAAAAAACTCAAATCGTGACCCTCTCGATCCCGGTGGTATTAGGAGTGTCGTTTATATGAGACGCTTAATTTTGTTCGTTCTTTCACGGCTCGATATTTCGAAATATTTCGGGGGGGGGGGGGGGCAGGCACGAAGAAATGGCCGAGCAGAAAGGCTACGCCAGACAAATAATATCCTTACACGCTTGCCTAATCACTTGTCGATATTGATAAATTGATACGAATAGCGTATTATTAATCCGCGGCCGAGCTGCGCCAGCTTTTCTCTCTCTCTCTCTCTCTCTCTCTCGCGTCCGTCGTTCGTTATAAATGAAATAAGCTCGATCGGGGAGAAAGAAAACGAAAAAAAAAAAAAAAAAAAAAAAAAAAAAACGCGCTACGGCGCATTACGACAATGCACTACTCGATCATACGCGCGCGCTGCCGCGGCTCGCGAGCGCGCGAAACACAAAAACTGACAAACGATAAATACAGAATTAATACAATATGAATTGCAACACGGCACGAGCGGGCGAGAGTGTCTCTCGGGCTTCAAAGTAAATAAATCTCCGGCTCGCGCACAACAATAGAGCTATACTCGCGCCGCGAGCGCGATACCGAGGCAGCTGCGCGCGCGCGGCGCATGCCGTGCGCGCTCGTTGAGTTCACCGCCGCCGCCACCGCTTGCATTGCACGTACCTATACGTGTACGCGTCTGGCACTACTATCCTCGTATAACCGTCTCTCGCTTGGCATTTATTATTTGTTGAGCCACTGATTTACAACCGATTTAATTAGCTCTCCTAGTACCCTCGCTCGCTCGCATTTTTGTTCTTCCCGAGGGAGAAGGAAGAAGCGTAATCTCTTTCGAAGATCGCTGCCCGCGTGACAACGGATAAGCGTTCAACGATAAGCTCTTGTTACCTATGATTTTTCTGTTTTGTCGTTGTGTCGATAATACGTTTTATTACGCGTGTCTAATAAGGTCAATCGGCGCGTGTAACTTTCCTACCGCACTTTTGGAAATTTTTGAAAGGACTCGCGCGCGGCAAGAGCTCGCAATTAGAAAGTACACGTGTCCCCAGCGTCCATAATGAGCCCGGGTGCCAATTTTGAAAGTCTCTCCGCCGAAAGCAAAGACAAGATTTAATTGCGCGCTACGGATAAGGAGGAAAACTACGCTTGGCCACCGCGAACGAAAGTGAGCAATGGTGGCGGCACTTGACACGCGGATCATCACTTGGAATCTTACCTTCGTGCGTCCACTCACGTACGCGCGCGCGGCTTTAACGTTTGCGGGCGGGCTCCGCTCGCTCGCTCGCGGTGAAAGTAAATTTCCGGGAAATCAGGGCTCCCGCGAGTATGACGTCTTTCGTCGCCGCCTCGTCTCTCTCTCTCCTTCTCTCTTTCACGAACGCAGATGCATAACGGACGGAATGCGTTCCGGATTTCCATTTTACTCTCTCGATCGGGGTTTTACCAGGGCAGTGTAAAGGACCTCGGTATAGACGTTGCACAACTCGCGCGACGCCGTCGTTCTTTTTATAGCATCCTCCTCTCTGGTTATTCCCGCTATTTACGAAACGACGAACCTTATTCATAAACTCGTTATAACGACATCGACGACGCACGTATGACGATCGTGAGTCAGTGCCGCGCATTCATAGATTTCAGCCGATGTAACGATGACAAAGATCCTTGTGTTGTTCGGGGTTTTCTTTGTTCAATTTTTCAACCGGCCGTGCGGCGAAGAGGTTGTGGCCCGGCGATCCAATTCCCGGCCAAGAAAGTGGATCGACGCCTGTTTAATTACCGCGGCGATAAAGATTCCACGCGGTGGGCTGTCTTAACGAGTAAACAGGCTGATAATAGCGCCTCACGTGTATGATTTACGCTCGGATTGGCGATTTTAATGGGCATGTTCTAAAATGCAAAAACAACTAAACAGGGCCTACTTTTTTTCATTGCACGCAGCTGGAGTCGAGCAATATCGGTGGATCATCGTGCTCGCGACGCGCGCCATCAGGAGACGCGCGCTGTTACTTTCGAAGCTCGCGGTGGCGTATACATTAGCGGCTTCTAGCGGAATCATTGCTATGCGCGACTCGTTCTTGGCTAAACACATATTGCCCTCGCCTATGAGGAGCGGAGAAAGAGAGCCGCGAGCGGGTAACGGTCCCGTCCGCACCTCCGTGGACACTCTCCAAGTCGGGCTGCGCCAGCGACAAAATCTGTGTGCGAATCAAACGCCGCGACTTGCCGACGATTCTCGCGCGATCAAAAAGCTCGCGGTCGCATTTTCTTGATTGCGCTTTCTCGCAGGACCAGCTGGCTAACCGCGCGCCGGGCCCGTCGCTGCGGATCTTGCGCGCGTGCGCGATTTCTCGATTTCGATCGCTTTCGACGATCCGCGCGCGAGTATGATTCTCGTAATTTACCGTTTGTCGCGTGCGTACGCCCGGCGAATGTGGGTCGAATTGTGGGTTGTAAGTGAATCTTTTGGCGAATGTGTCATGTGAGGTTTCGTCATTGTACCCGTCGATACCCTCGATCGTCAGGTGGGACGTGCCTCAGTGTCGAGCAAGAGAGAATCAACGAAGAAATCGACGCAAACTGTCTACAACGGTCGCATTCAATTCCAACGTCGCTCGTAAAAGGGTCACCAACGAAATATTTGGATGCAAACTGATAAAAACTGGACGGCGAGCGACCGTAGGCTTGGGTCTAATTGGAGGAATACATCAGCATGAGCGACACCTCGGCGCTGCCTGACAATTCAGCTAGCCGATATCGCGACGTCGCGAAACAATCGGGCGCGGAGTCTCGACGATCTCTCATGGGATTGCGGCTCTCGGAAAGCCCGACTTAGAGTTACTCGCCTGTGTGTATGTGTGTGTGTGTGTGTGTGTGCACACGATCGCGCGAGAGCAGGATAGGAAGTGGGTCAGCGACGTCGCGTGATATCGCGCCCGGCGACGCGACTGCTTTCTCTTGGCGGCGGCGGTGTTGGACCGCCGCTTGTGTGTATATAGATATACGTATAGCGCATCGAACCGAGACTTCATCAGAAAATTCTAGTGCTCCACTCTTTTTTTATTTGCCTCTCAATTCTTCTTCCTCTTTTTCTTCCTCCTAGCTTGTTTTACTTGCTCTGGCTTTAGTTCTCTCAAGGCGTTTCAGTTTTCTCAGCAAAGCCTCCAGACGTCTGTATTTTTTTGCTTGTAAATTATTATTCTCCATTTGTTTCTTCAACGATTCTCAATTTGTGAAGGATAATATTTGCCAAAATCGCGATGGATGTGACCTAAGTCAATGCAATGAAAAGGCTGGGTATGGCAACATTTTGAATATTGAGTAATGTTTAACTTGTTAAATTGCTTTTAATTTCAATATTTACATATTAGAAGGCGTTCAAAATTTAGCATGCCATAATAGGGCTCGAAAAAAAATTTGTGAAGCTATAATTCTTTTTCATAGGAATATCATTAAAAGTTTATCGACCGAAACGTGATTAACATAAAAAATGCGTCATTCAGTGTGCTACATCGCCACGACTTGTACTGAGGCCTCGTATGAAATAACCGAGTTATAACCAGATTATCTGGATTTACTGATGAACGAACTGCAGATACACTTTTTTACTTAATTAGTAATTAATACTTATTTTCAGAATATTAGAGCAGTGAGTAGATAGCAGATGATAATGCAATTTATTATTAGTTATGTTGTTGCGAACAATCAGATGAAATTATTATTTGACCATCGTTGAACATCGTAAAAATTAAGCATCGTTGTCAAAGTACCAAGTGATTTTCTTATTCTACCGATTGAATCATTGTACGTCAACGAGCGCTCGTAATAATAATGAATAAAAAGCGATCGAAAGAAAGGGGCACGCGAAAAGATTTTCGACTCGCATTTCACTTTCAAACGGCGTATAAACAGTTAGAGTTGGTCGTAGCGTCATTCGGGTTTTCCCGATCAGCGACTATTGTTATGCCGTCGATCGCGTGCGTCACTGCAGCTCTCCAAAGGATAATTCGTACGAGGCAATGTGGGAGAAAATGCTGCACGTTGTTGTGCGCCGAGCTTGGCAGGTTCTTAGCTTGATTAATTTACGAGGGATTGTTGCAGCCAACTGCACGTAATGAATATGTTGTGACTATAGTTTATTGCTTTTCCATGATTTTTCTCGATCGCTCGCATTTCAATAATAACACTCGGGCGATACACGTACATATGCATATAGCTAACGAGCCTGCTGAAAAAATTTGATGTGAAGAAATCATTTATACGATACGATGCAGTTCTTACACTGAGAGTTTTGTCTCTGAGATTTATTGCGCGCCCTCGGCAACGACGCAATTGAATAAGACAAACAAAGTCGTCTGAATTTCGCGTTATCCGTGCAGACTGTCCCTTATCAGAGCTTCGAGCGAACATCCGACTTATGGTTTTCTCCCTTTCGATTGTTGTTGCAGTGTGGCAGTATGCTGCACGCTCAGTTGGAGATCTGGAAAGCAGCTGTGGAGGAGTCGCCGAGAAACACATTGACTTCGGCCTGGACTTCGACCACTGTCGTTCAGTCACCCAGCAATGGAAGCTCGTCCCCGTCAATCGCGAGCAGTGCGCCCGGCAGCGTCAAAGATTCGAGCAATATGGATTACTCGGATGGTGAGTCTGCGTCTTTTTTAGATGCACTGCGCTCGTGGATATTGAACTTTATCGGAGGCAGCGAGAGCGATAACCGTTCATGGGCAAACGGGTGACAATGTTTCAAAGGAGCGCGCATCCGTTTCTGCATTACAGACGAGGACGATGAAGCGAGTCCCGTGGAGGCTGGTAGCGAGGGCACGAGCGTCGGCAAAATTCGCAGTAGCGGCTCGCACATCCACTTGTGGCAATTCCTGAAGAAGCTGCTGCAGAGTCCGAGCGCTCACGGCTCGTGCATTCGCTGGCTCGACCGTAACAAGGGCGTGTTCAAGATCGAGGACTCGGTGCGCGTGGCGCGGCTCTGGGGCAAGCGGAAAAATCGGCCGGCCATGAATTACGACAAGCTCAGCCGAAGTATCAGGCAGTACTACAAGAAGGGCATCATGAAGAAAACCGAGCGCAGTCAGAGACTCGTCTATCAATTCTGCCATCCGTACTGTCTTTGAGTGCGCTTACGTAAGCTTGCGGGAAAAATCGGCGTCGATCTTGTGCTAACGATCGCTTCCGTCTTTTTCACATGCGCGATGGAAAAGGTACCTTCTCGTTCTTTTTTTCTTCGTTGCTTCTCAGCGCGCGCGTGCACGCGAGAGAGAGAGAGAGAGAGAGAGAGAGAGAGAGAGAGAGAGAGAGAGAGAGAGAGAGAGAATCCCTCGCGACTTAACGGGAATCGAGCTAAAACGATTGACTTTTCTCTTCCAAAATGCCGACTGATCATTCGAGATATAGCTTTTATTCGAGTTCGATCAGTCCGAATCTATCTACCTCGATTTCCGTGTCTTCATGAAAATTGTGTATATGCTCACCTCTTGCGATCTTGTTTATAAGTTGTACAGATCCGTTGCTAATGCAATGTGGTAAAAATCACACGGGTCTCACGTGTACGCCTATATTGGCCTCTTTTTTTTTCTCTGTTTTCTATCTATTAATTGCCTCGTAACCCCGAAGAGGATCGATCGATTTTCTAATTATGTTCGGGAGGTACAACCCGATTTTACTTTCCTCTTCGGTGTTATTAGCACTATATTAAGCTTTGTTGTTGACAAAAATATATAAAATAAAAAAAAATATATCGAAACAGACGAAGTCTCCATGATTGCTTACTGATCCCGCCGACGATGAGCTTCGTAGCATAATATCTCGACGAGATCTTAGCGCGCGGAACTTTTCGTTGCTGCTTGGTCAACGTTATCGCCTTCAAAATTTTTATGTAAGAAAAATTTACTATTCGAAATATATAAATTGACCCATCTAGATATTTTTGAAACGTACGATTGCGATTGGCTTTTCTTAAGGCAAAGTATTGCTTTTTTTTATATCAGTAACGTTAAAACAATGGCGAGTATTTGTTTACTTGAATGCTCAGAGTTCGAAGGGGTTGGTGATTTTGGTCCCATATATCTATGATATATTAAACCTGTATGTTCCATGAACGACTAGCTTGTAAGATGTTATCTAGAGTTCTTAAGCAGAAGCTCACGTGGATTGCATTTTATTACGTTGTAAACTCAAAAATAATCTGCACGTGTTATATTTACTCATTCAAATTTATATAAATCGTACGTATAAGTTTTTTCACTTGAGTTTATTATAGAGCGTAAGTAATAATACTATTTGATATTATTAAACGTTAATTGCAAATATTTTTTCACATAATCATTGATCAATTGATGATTATCATTAGCTTTAACCTCCAGTTGATTATTATGTATTTGAAAATACTCTTCTTGATATAATGTGTTCGTAATGATTAGATGCAAAATTGTCATGATTTAATTGACAATTATGCATGTATTCTGTAACTTATAACTCGCTCGCCTCGTATTAAAAAAGCACTGATTGATTTTACTCGCCTCAACAATGATCATCAAAAATACTCTAAAAATTATATTTTTCCTTTTCCTACTAAGTTCGAGTAGAAAATGGTGGTAAAGTTACTATTATTGCGAGATAAAATTTTAAAACCTTTTGATAAAAAGTTGTTCCTTTTTAATTTTCAAGGCGACCGACCGAAAAATTAATCTTAAATATATAAGTAGATTTAAATGAAATAATAGAATATTGTTTAAGAACGTTATATTCATTACGTTCAAAGGTAATTCTTATCACATCACCGTACTCGATTATGTGCGTGTGTGTTTGTGTGTGTCTGTGTGTGTCTGTGTGCGTACGTGTGGGTTTGCGCGTGCATATGTGTTTCTACTCATAATCATATAGTTTTCTTTTATTTATTTAATTAACAGATTTGAAGAATCTCTTTTTCCAATGGTTACATTTATTCACTCGAGAACACTACATATATAGGTTAGGATTTTATTTATGATTTAAAATCTACATGGTAATTTTTAAAGAAGAACATGAAATTTTATGAATGTTATATGTGTATGGAATCTTTTGAAATCTAATATAATACAACTTTTCCATACTAAAAACGTTTGTATCAATGAAATAAAGATTATTTAATTATTTCGAAATGAATAATTAAAATAGCAATATTTATATTCATAATTTTACAGGGTGTTTGTACATTAAATTAAAATCCGTAAGACAATAAAATGTACTCTCATAAGAAAATTGATGGCAGAATATTTACGATGGTCCTGTGCGATTGACTTGTGAAGGCTGTTAAAAAATATGTAAATTAATTACAAACTTTTCTACGTTATTGTACAAATATTATAATACTCACAGTAAAATACGATCGAATTATTTTTATTGTGTGTTAATGTCAATAAAAAAATTTTAATCTAAAACCGAAATATACTCTTTAAAATATATTATACAATTATAACGTAAGTGACAAAGTACAGATTTTGTAAACAAGTAAGCGATATCCATGTATTTTTACTAATGTACATTAAATGAAAGAATAACATTGTATAGAGATGTTTCATATTAAAAAATGTGCGTTTTTAAGCGTCGATACTATATACAAATATATATTTTTAAGATACACTGTTTCTATATCAAACATCTGTTTAAATATAACGTTTTATAAAGATCTAGAAAATTTATATATCTTTTGTAACGCCGGCGTTTGCTATTACAATTAGTATTTGCGCTAACTTTGTGGAAAAACAAATCTTCAATAAAAAAATTTTATAAAAATATTTTACTTTTCCTTTTATTTCAACCAAATTTATACAAAGCTCAATTTGAAAAATCGGTCATAGCTGACTACTTAAGTGATTATTAGTGACTTGCTCTAAATATTTCATGGTTTAGAAATCTTTTTAAGGCTCTGCTATATATTTCTGTAGAAAATATGTCGTCATTTACTTCCAGCAGTTTGCCTAAATTATAGATCGTAGGTACTTGAAGCAATTACCATCGATAAATGTGGCTACCTTGAGTGCGACTAATCATATTCAAAAAATTTTTTGCAAAAATTATTGATGATATCGCTAATTTTGATTTTCTCCGTAGAAATAAAAAACCAAGTTGAAAATCGTTATCGTTGGTTTTTTTAATTTTTTAGTGTTTTAAGGACAGTCGTTTAAGAAAAAAAAAACAACAAATGAGACAAATTAATGTTGCAATTTTACCTGAGTTTAATGCTTACTCGAAATGAAATCAATGAAAATACTTGCCGTTGGAAAAATTTATTACGAAAATACGCGAAAAAGTCTAAGCGTCCTTTGCGATTAAACGGATCCGCAAAAGCCACGCCGACGATCGGTGGGAAAAGATGACTTTCTTTCGTGCAACTGTGGTGGAACGAGAAAGATCCCGGAGGAAGCAGCGAGTCTAATCAGGGATGGGGTGAGTGGTTGTTTATTTATCCCATAAGAATCGCAAACATTAAAATTAAAATCATTTCATTGCGATGAAGTCGTCTATGGCAAGATTTAACCGTTAAAATAAATGAAGATAAATCCGTCAGGTAGATATGGGACGAAAAGTTCGAATCTCTCGTTCTAGCTAGTTAACAAATCTACGACATTTCGGATTAAAGAAACGGTAAGCGATGATAGCGAGCGCTCCGTTATGGCGCGGCGTGTTTGCCTGAACTTGCCGACCTAAACCTAGTGACCCGTCATTGACTAGCCGACCTTTGCTAAATGCCTTGTCGACTTGACATTTTTTGCAAGAACTGAGATGAAATTCGCTACACGTGCTTATCAGAATTAATGCTAACTACATTCAACACTGCCCATCAGACTAGGCAAGTAGCAAAAGTCAGTTAGCAACAGGACGATAGGTTCAATACAATGTGCTGCACGTTATCATCCCTTACTGATTCTTACATAATACTCGCTACTTTAATTTTAATGTTGATCCTTGTAGAAATAAGTTAAAGGAACCCACCGGAAAAAGAATTTTAAGAATGTAAAATTCAATATTTGCTTATAGCACAATTTTTTTAATATTGTTGAAATGACATTTTTGCATTGCTACTAAGATAGATATAGATATATTGATATCCATAATTTTAATGGTGGAGTTATTTATTTTAGAAAAACTTTTATCAAAATTTTCTAATCGTTTATAATTGTTAATCATTTACAAATAATCATCAGAAGCTCACTACTGCGTGGCCAACATTTATACCAAGTTTCACGAACGTTTGTCACCTATATCCCTCAGAGCTTATGGAAATAGTGTGGAGCAGGTTATATATACATAAATCATAAGAAAAAATATTTGATTTTTTCTTATCGCATGATACTTATGAATCAAATAAATTTTTCAAAATTTTCATGAAATGACTCAGTAGAAAAGTTTTAGTCTGCCAAGTCAATAAAGCATCAATGGGTAGTATAATTTCGTGAGATTTTGCAAGACTATTTTACGGTTTTCCCGTTACTTTCGCAGTAAGCATTGGAGTAACTTTTTCATTCTCGTGACGTCGGTTCTAAAGAACTAGAATTAAGTGCGCACACTTTCGACTTCGTAGAAGAGCGAAAGTAATCAACAAGGTCCTTTGGTGAAAGTAGCTTATTCACTGACTGCTAACCCAATGGTGATGAGTCATTTTTGTAAGCGTATTTTTAATTTCACATAATACCGTTTCAGGTATGAAATTCAAAATGAGCATAGAAATTTTAATATGATAATTCCTACATACCTAGCATATTATTGATTTACTTATTTATTTTTTACGTACATAAGAAGTATCGATAGAGTATTAGGCTAATATGGTTAGATAATCATAATTAGTACATCGCTGTATGTGACTTTCCAAAGTAAATAATTTATGTATTCAATAATGTTAATAGCTGACAAAGAAAATAGTTTATATGACTCTTCTCAATTGAAATTTGCTGGAATTTTCAACATATCTATCTTTGCACTAGAAAATTGTAGTCAATTATCTTTATACGGTAAACACTGACTGTTATTTCCCAAGGACAAAATTATTCTATTATATAAACTCGACTATGAACTTAACAATCATTTTTTAACGTACCAGAATAGATTAAAAAAGATTGTTATACGTTTTACAAACGTTGAAGATATTTTGTATGTTGTCTTGTAGTTAAAAAATTTATTAATAATGAATTTTCGGTGTAGAACTTAAGATGTAACTTTAACGTGTACGAAATTACAATATTTATATTTTTTCGTCAAGTATCATCGCGATTTTTTATTCAATGGCAATAATTTTTATAAATTCAATTATGCTAAAATACATTCTATATTTCGGCACTTTTCTGAAATAAATAATTAGAGGTTAGTTTTCTGTATAATTTACACTTTTTCAATACTTAGTGAAGAAAATGTAGAATCATTTTATTATTTTCTATAAATTTGAAAATGTTAAGAATGAACTAACTGAAACTTACGCTGAACTATTAAAATAAAATTTATATCAATATATTTCATATCATGTAAATGTATCAAATGATTGATATAATACTCAATATATTGATAAAAATTTTATTTTAATAGTTTTTCGTAATGATCATAATTTTCCACGCATTGTTATTTTTATTTTTATTTTTTGCAATATAAGAGACAAATTCACAAGGCAGATATAAAACTATTTTTACGTAATTTAGGTGCACATTATAGAATTAATTTGTATTAATTATTTGTATTTATGTTTGCCATAGCAATTCACAAGTAATTAAATATCATTTCGTATATATATTAAAAGTTTAAGAAAATAATAAACTGACTCTGACACTTACGATAAACTATTAAAATAAAATCTATATCAATATATTTGGTATCAATATATTGCTGTAGAAACAAATTGGTTTCATAATCGATATCTAAATCACACATGGGCATATTCACAGAACTTTTAACTTTGGTGAGGGATAGTTATTATGTGTATCTGAAATATAAATTAAATATTGCGATTGTATTTTCATCTATAAAATACTATTACTTGATGGTAACTGTACAATATTAGTATATTTAAATTCATCACCATAAATTACCAATAAATAATTCTGAAAAATTGGAAAAATCGATGCGAGGATATAGTATTTTGATTAACGTTCGTGACCATAACTTTTTGAACGAATATTCTCATGACTTGATTATTTTTTCTCTCAAATATGGGCATCTAAATAATAGAAAAATATGGTTTTCATAAGTATGACGGCCAAAGGAGTTACTGCAAAAATTAATATAGCAGGGATATCATTATTTTTTAAATAAATGGAAATAAACTTCTTCATTTATATCTTTTTGATTGATTTATTTTGAAAAGTGATTTTGACAAAAGTTATTTTTTTCATCAAAAACTGTCAAACAAAAGTCGTGTGGGAGATGTGTTTATCACCAATCAAATATTAAGCTCTATCAATTTTTGTATCGATATTATAAAGAATTACAAAGGAAATAAAATATGAAAAATACATAATTTTCATATTTGATGCGAAATGATCATAAATATTGTATACTCTTACTTTTTAATATTTTCTGAAGAATGGTTGGGAATGGTTGAGAATTATTACAAAAAGCTAGGATAGAAAAAATCTAAAGTAAAAATTATTCCTAACAGTAAAAAATAAACTACAGTAAAATTAAAAGCAGAAATTAGTAAAGCAAAAAAGAAAAAAGTAGAAATGAAAAAATTAGAAACAGAAATAAAAAATAATAATAAAAAGGAAGAAACTATGAGAAAGAAACGGAAGATTGATAACCTATTTGGGATTGACTATGAATAAAATTAAAAATGCAAAATCCAATGACATAGTTCTGCTCCTGTATCAAAAACGAAAAATTCTTAGTTTTGTTGTAGCGTTTTGTTGATTTCTGTGTTAAATATTTTGTATTTATTGTTGTTATTGTTATTGTTTGAAAACAAAACTTTTTTTTTTCATTTTATTAATTCGTGTTTGATTTAAGATATTGCCAAACATAAATTGACGTTTCCTGTACTTCAACATTTGAAAAAATTTCAATTCTTAATTTTCGCTATTATCACTTACTCTATTTTTTATAGCAAATAAAGCTTAAGGATACAGAAGATATTGTATTTACAAGTATGCTTTTAATTAAAATTAAAATTACATTTTTGCCACTATTCTTTTTTTTCAAACTCGGTTTAAATAAAAGTATTAAGTAATAGTATCTAACATCTATACTACTTTAACTTGTCATGATGCAAAAAAGAAATCATTAAGCACGCACTTTATCACATATAGAATAGGGTAGCGTATTGTTTTTATTTAATTTATTTAATGTATTATAATAATAATGGAAGGAATTTGTAAAGGAACATGTGCCAATCTCAAAATACCATATGATATATCTTACAATTAGACAAGTATTTTGTTATTTTTTATTTGATTAATTTCAAAAAATTATCTATACTATAAATTAACATCTACATATTTGCAAATTTATTAAATTATTATTAATATATTAAATAAAGCCAGCACTGTGCTCTTTTTAAATCGCGCGTATTCATTTATTTTTATTTCGCGCCACGAGTGGTCGCAGTAATTTTAATCTCGTACTACAATACTGAATAATGGTATATTAGGACAAGTAATTAACGCTATTTTACATATTAGTCAACGTGAAAAGATTTTTCAATATTATTTCTATGTCTACAGCCAGCGATGAATATTTCATTGTCGCTTTACATTTTAGTACTTGATGAATATTCTTGACTTCGTGTAATTTTTTATTCTTAATGAAAGATCCGGCCATTGAATACGGAAAAGTATACGGAACAAAGATATTACGAAAATTGTGTATGATGACATGTAATATAATATGTTGCAAGACATACACCGGAAAAAATAACTAAAAAGCCAATACGCGTCTGACTGACGTTTAATAAAGTTTTATAAACAAATAACACAAGGAAATTGTCAGAGAAACCAACTATTTCAAAACAGGAAGCATTATCGGAATTTCTTTTGTTGCCAAAACTGGAATGTGACCACTTTTGAAAGAGATCTGAACTGATTGTAAACTTTTCTCATTATCTTATAAACGGGAAGAAGTTGAAAACATATAAAAAGAACGGATCATTACTGGAAAGTCAGAGAAGGCAAAGATATCAAAGTGACGATGTCTTCTACACTTGTAGTCCTTGCCGCATCATTGGCCTTCGTTGTCTGCTTACAACACATCGAGGCCTATCCATTATCTGACTGCGGTGATGAACTCCCTTACAGTATAGAGGTAATTCAGTTGTAATTTTACTTTATATTATAGTTTTTATTGTGTAGTTTAAATTTTGGCAAAAGTAACTTGCAAGTTTTTCTTATAATTATTTTAGTGATAATATAAATTCAAAGATAACACATGCTATTTTTTTTAAATAATCTAGTTTTCGTAATCCAAATACTTATAAAACAGGTATTTTATTTGTATAGGTTCCAGCTTCAAAATCAAACTATCTGCCGCTTTTCCCTACTACATGGTCAATGCAGTAAGTATTTTTTTTACTACAAATTTTATGGTAAATTATATTCTACACATTGATAAATATTTACAAATAGATTGTTTCATGATCTTTTTGCTGTTAGTTTAGTAATGAAAATTGGCCAATTTTACGGTGATGCGTAATAATAGTATTATCGCCTTTAAGATCCATATTAATAAGAAAGATGCTATTTTGCTGGAAAAAACATTATAATTGAATTTCATTGCTTAATCTAAAGGTACCAGTCATCAACACCACCTCCACCCTCTGGATATAATATGCTAGCACCTGAATCTTCTCCACCACCGGTTCCACCCCTAACTTACAGCCCAGCACCCGTTTACAGTCCTCCACCCCCACCACTAGCGTACAGTCCAATACCAGCATACGGTCCTCCATCTCCAACCTACAGTCCAGCGCCAGTTTACAACTCTCCACCTCAAACCTACAGTATACCAGCACCTGTCTATGGTACATCACCTTCAGCCTATAGTTCAGCACCAGCCTACAGTCCAGCACCAACCTACAGTGTACCAGCACCAGTGTACAGTGCTCCGAACCTTGCCTATGGACCACCACCTTTAGCTTACAGTCCAACGCCAACCTACAGTGCACCAGTACCAGCATCGTCACCAGCAACAGCATCTTCTTACCCAGCTCCTCCATTTATACTTTATACTACATCTGCACCTAAAAAGCCCTTGAAGACTAAGGTGGACAGAATGTTTCTACCCACCGATTGCAAAGTTCATACTAGCTCCTCTAACTGTGATTGCGGAAAATATTAAACGATAGGGCTTCTTCTGATAAGGAGGAAAATAATTCGTATGTAACCATATGTGACAATGTTTAGAATAAATCAATTACTTTTTATACATGTAGATTAAATAATTCATTTATATCTGCATTTTTCTATGTTATTTGTGATTGTCTATGTGACACTTAATAATTGCTTTCCGCGTCAGTACATTTCAGATATTTTTGCTTGAAGTATTCGTAATAGCTATTCATTAAACTTTGAATGAGGTTCCATATTTTGATACAACGGTCGATTGAAAATAAGAAATGAAAAAAAAAGATTGAAAAGCTAAGAATATGTAAAATCTTATAGCGAGACAAATCAAAACTAAATTTTAATGTCTCACATGTATGATTATTCATAAATTTCGATGCTTGGAATCTGGCACGAAAATCGTAGTTTCTTTTCCAGGCGGTGTGAATGCTGAGCGATATATGCGATTCGCAAAGTGTTCTGCATAAGAAAGACCGCGGCGCTCGCAGATGGGCGTCGCCGGGTGTCTGATTTACGACGTTTTAATCGCACAATTAATCTAACACCTTGTTGCAACAACACCTCATTCGGGCTAAAACGAGAGGCGGGAGGGTAAGGGGAAGGGGGAAGAACGAGTAGAAGACTGACGATGATAAGAGAAACAAAACGAAAAGGGCTGGAAGTTCGATATGCGCAAAACAAGGGGGCGGGAAAAGTGGGAAGCGCACTCGCGCCTGCGTCCGAGCGCGAGCACGGAGAGATCGATTACGCGCGCGAAATATGAATCGGACGTGTATCGTCTTTTCATAAATAAAGGCCGGCACCAAATTGGATCTTTGCGGCGCACTCGACAGAAAGTGAGAGAGAGAGAGAGAGAGAGTGAGAGAGAGAGAGAGAGAGAGAGAGAGAGCGAGCATCGGATAGCGCGAGCCAGAGGAAGAGAGAGGGAGAAGCGTGCCAGGGATGATTTAATACGAGATACCGCGGGGAGTTGTAATGGAGGGTGCTTGTAAAAAGGCCGAATGTTTATTAAAGGTCGCTCCGTTTGAGTATGGTGTTGGGAAAGCATCTGTTAACGTTCGAGTTGCGCGCCTCTCACTCTTCTCTCTGCTTTGATATCCTTTTAGCTTGGACTCGGTTTATCTAAGTGAGGATTTTTTTTACCCATCTCCTTTTTCGCGAGTGCCGCGCCGCAACTCTTTGATCGCGGCGTGCGAAATTTCACCTTGTCGATCTGATATTAATATTATGTACGGTTTCTTGGCATGCGTTATGCGAATGCGCGTCGTTACATTTTCTAGGCAGAGAATAAAAAGCAACCAGTCTATGTCTCAGACTAGAATAAGATTGTTCACCGTCGCATTTTTACGAATTAGTAGAAAGCAGCATCGATGCTTTGTCATTCGGGCAGCGTAATAAAAGTCGCCATAAAAAGAAGGAGGGAAAAAATTCGAATGGTTCAAGAAAGTGCAGTCGCGTAAACAGCTGCCTGAACAAGGGACAAAGAGAGAAAGAGAGACAGAAGCGAGCAGAAAAGTGCGCGTCCTCGGAAAGCGACCTTTCGCGAAAACGAAGACGAGCAAGAAAAAGCAAACGACCAAATGAGCGGGAATAAGTGACCGGCTCGAAAATACGGAAAGGGTCCACCTGCGAGCAACTCACGCACACCTTGTCGCAGCTTTATAGAGTTATAAGGGGGCCGGTCGTCGTCGTGCTGCGGTTAATATTGTCTGTGCTGCATAAGGAGTCAGAGAAAGAGCAGGGCACCCCCGCACACACTCGCACATACCCACAAATACAAGCACCAAGGCCGGCGACATTCTCTTTGTGAAAACTAATTGCCCGTTTACTTGGATCGCTAATTCAATATATGTGTGTGTATTGTGTGTGTGTGTGTGTGCGTGTGCGCGTGTGTGTGTATTGAGTGATCGAGCCAAGGCAAGGGTGGTGATGTTTAATTAAATCGAGGTGTCGGGCGTGACGTACCACACCAATTTACGTCTGTCTCTTTTGTTACATGACCTCTTGATTGCTCAGATGCGATTTATGGTACTAACATTTTCTTTTTTTGTTAATCTTACAAGTTTATACTGTAAAGTGAATTTAATTGGATGGTTACAGTAATAATTTTCATGGTAATTTTTTGGCCGCTGTTCAAGGTAACTTCTTAGTATAATGACCTTGCTGAGTTTACTGCATGAAATATTTTGCCGTAATCAATTGAGAATTCTATTTTTTCGAATTTCCAGGAGACAATGTCATTCTGCATTGTGGTTTATTCTTATACTTTCAACGTGTTGTTTCTAACTATTGTCCACTGCGTCTATAATTTCTCATAATTTAATTTTTCAAAAAAACGGTTATATTTTTAAAATTAGCTGCATTTATTATAGTAGGATATATGTATTTGGTATACTGTAAAAAATGAAGATTTATATATCTCAATACCTCATAAGTAGAATTGATTTTTCTTCAAAGATTATCATGCAAAAACAAAATGAATATATATTTAAAATTTAAAGACTAGAGAGCTCGTTATGGAATAATCGCAGCACATGGTATGAACGATTGAATAACATTGAGACTTAAATACATAAATTCAAGATTATTTTATACCAAAAATTTCAAATTCGGTGGTTAGCGATTGGATCAAGGAGGCGGGGAACAACGGAGCCAGACTAGTATTCACACAGATCTACCTATATTACATAATCATAAGAATACAGGTAAATATTCCATGAGTCTACTCATTTTTTCTTACACCCCCCCCCCCCCCCACCACACACACACACACTTAACGTTCCTTAATCTTTTCCGTTTATACTTTATTTTTACGTTACTTTTGATACTGCTTCCGTTCGTCCCTTTTCTCCTCAGACCTCTCCGGGATCTCTAGAACTCCTTTCTTTTTCTATTGATTGTAGTTAATTTTATCCATATGGGAAATATTACATATGGATTATTTTTGGCTATTTTATAGAGCCCGTAACATAGAATTCACTAATTTTATTTAAAGTTGATATACTTACTCGTATTTATATAGAGGTCATCATGAGTACACAGTTTCAGACAAAAATATTGATAAGGGGCCGGAGTTATCAGCTATTGAAAAAATACGGGATTTTCTTTTTAATTCGATTTCTCGGAGACTAATAAAGACATCGCGATGAATTTTTTTAAAAGAACCGAAATGAATTTTAATTAAAAAAAATAAATAGTATAAAATGTAATTATTTATTTTTGCCATTGTTATACATAATTTTTTTAAAAAAGTCGACGATATCTCAAAAATCGATATTTTTTTTTAATTGTGACACCATCGTATTACTTGTTGCTTTTTACATAAGAAACCGTTGTACAAAATTGCATATAACAATGGAATACATAAATAATTACGTACACTATTTATATTTTAAGTAAGTCATTCCTGGGTCTCGCCGTACACCTTGCAACAGAAAGCTCTACTTTACTACAGCTTGCCTCCGTGGCGAAATAAACATCTCAGTTTGTTGTTTCATGGCAATGCCAACTCTAATTGCTCAGTAGCAATTCGAGCTTGAGATATCAGTTTTTGCTTTAGATTGCGGCAGGTTCGGTGAATAGCCCTGAATTTTACTGAAAATACCTTCAAAAGAGTTTCTTGAAATATTGGACATGTTCCACTATAACAGCTGGTGCAGCGGACAGGCTACCAACCACTCCAATTCAAGATTCAAGTGGCTCATTCACAAAAACGTAAATATAAACGCAGCTAATTTTTTTAAATTAGAAGTGTCTACAATAATAGCTTCTACATGTAATATTGCAAGATCCGCTGTTGTCACCTAGTTAGGGCCCGTACTTGAGTCGTTTAAGATCCTGAGAATCCAATTTCATACTGCTCGTGTAGTTATTGGTGTATATGATACATGTACCGATTGATCTTCAACTTTCAACGGTAATACCAGGCGGTCATAGCACTAGTAGCATTCATAGAGGTATCTAACTTTTTCTATGGAGGAAACGTTCTTTAGATTGAAAAGGTCATTTTTCAAGACCATGTGAACAAGCTTCTTCCATTCAATATCGAAGATCTCTTGGCATCGGTCATAGGCAAATCACACGCTGTGAATCCGGTAAATGTGTCTATTCTTTCGTAATAAGTGTTGATCTTTTTTCACAGAATGCCATGCATCGATTGAGGCGTTCTATTGCTTTAAATTTTGGTCGTGGTAGCCTTGATAATTAGAATAAGTTAGCCAAGTAGCTCGTTGAGGATTTCCTCGTCTGCGTTCAAGGTCATTACGTGTTCCAGTTTTCTTATCTACTTTGCCAACTGGAAATTTTTTACTTTCTTCGTGCAAACATTGTTGATCTTATCTATTAGCGAAGTACACCACTTATCAGTAATCACTGGCAACGCTTCTTGAGATGTACGTTTAGACAGGTGCTCAATCTGCTCGAAGTACCTCGATAGTCATGCCCAAAACGTTTTCGAATTGATCACTGCTTTCGTTCGAGTCCGAATCGATAACTGTTTCATTCAGGGTAAAATGACTATGCAGGGATCTTGCTCTCCCCAAAAATGAACTTGTGTAGGTCGTCCTCTATGACGTTCGTCTAATAAACGTTTCGAGACTTTCGAAATTACTGAGTCAGCTCTCCATCCTTGTAAATGAGTGATTGTCTGAGGTCAAGTACACACTGAATTTATTTTGCTTTCAAATCTTCGTTGTCGTTGTACTTGTATGGAAACTTTTCGGTAGTTCATTGATTAATTTCTCATGATGAGATGACTTCACTTGAAATGCTAATCGAGAAGTCGCAAAGCTCGTGTAGGAGTACCTACATCTCTTACTTTAAGAGATGTGTCTAGGAGCAGCTCTAAATTCCCGTATTCAAACTGTCGCTCTGTGCAGATAACAGTTGAATTGCAGCTATAAATTGAGTTTATTTCCATTGTTTAATAAATCTCGACACTTCTATAAAAGTAAAAATTATTAGTATTTTTTTAAATATTTCATATCGGTACTTTATCAGAGTGGACTTGTGAAAAATTAGACTAGAAGTTTCTTAAAAAGGAAATGAGTCTATGTGAGACAAATGCACTCTCTGTCCAGAGAAAACCCGCGCATAGAAGTGCGACTTCATTCCTTTGCCGAGATGCGTTTCGATGTTCACGAAGTTATCTATTCATATCAACCCAAGATATTTATCCATAAAAGCAGTGGAAATCTTACGTGCTGCGCATGTAATAACGACATTGTTATAACGAATCTTATGATACCCAATTTGCTTAAGTTCATTACTGTTGGGTTGGACATTACCTCCCCGCCCCTCTTGCCCTTATGGCAATTCAAAGAACTTAACAATAAATACGGACATAATTTTAGTATAGATAGATTGACTAGATAAAAATTGAGAGTAAACAATAACTACTTACAACGTTGCTTTAATACGCATGAGATGAATGTCATAATCGCTGGCTAAAAAGAAATACCTAAGATCACGCTCAGGTATACTTAGGTAGATAGCGGTGTGGATAAATGCAGTGACATTGAAAACGCGGTACACGGCAGAAAAGCGTTTCATGGCAACACTGTTAGTCAGATGTTCATTCGCGATTCCAGACTAAAGCTGTTCGGTCTGCGACAAGTTAAAGGTAGAACCGGGATTAAACCGATCGAGTCTGTCAACAAGAGAATTTTATGATGCTCAGCTGATTAATAAGGTCCGCTTTGCGTACAGTGAAAGAGCGTATGTATGTCTATGCTTCAGTATGCGAGGCAAGAAATTGGAGAACTGTTGGTTCCTCGCGGATATGTGCACAACGATATCCCTCGAGAGCAAGCAAAAACAAAGTTGTCAGCCAGCCGACTACAAGACTATCAGCTTAGGCCGATGCCGTGGGGAAGCGCTCACTATATCATACATTATCATTTCTTACATAATGCCGTTCTATTAATTTTAACATTGATTCTTATAGAAAAAAGTTGAAGATAATACCATTAGTACATAACAAAAGTTAATAAGTTTTTAGACATCATTGAAAAGTGTTTTTGCATTGATACTTTGATGGTTGATTATCTTACAGCTTTTAAAAAAATGTATATCAATCGTATGCACGGTTACAAAAAAATAAGTTTCTGAAAAATTTTAATAGATATTTTTCAATTTTTTATAACTATTTTTTCTAATTACTGAAGTTCACTACTGTTTGGACAACAATCACACCATGTTTCACAAAAATCAGCCATCTACGTCCTCCAGAGCTGATCGTAATATTTTACAAAATTATGTTTGTAAGTAAAATATCTTATCAAATATACATTTATTTATTTGTGAAAAAGTGTTATCTTGTGGAAAGTCGTACAAAACACGATAATTCTTCTACGATATAAGAAACCAACTATACATAAAAAAATCACATTGTTGCCGCGGCCCGCCTTTGTTGTATAGTTTCGAAATCTATTGCAAATACAGTCAATAAAGATCTATAGTGGATATTCATTATGATCATTGCAATTTTTAAAATCGTAGCTAGCCATGTAGTTACGAACTAAATTCAGCATGAGATTTAGGAAAATGTTCGAATTTTAAAAATAATTCGCTTTTTACAATTATTTTCTCTACTTTAGTTATATAATCTTCAAGATTGTACGTCTTTAGTATCATAGGACTGGTTTCGAAAAGGATCCTGTTTCAATTATTGCTTTGAGAAAAATACGGTTCATTGTTATTTTTTTCCGTATATTACTGTTATCAACAGCCAATTTTATTTTATACAGTGGTCTCGCTAAATTACCGTGCCTGCCATCATAAAGTTTTGACCAGGAGTCAATAATTCTTAGACGTAAACTTTATAAGTTGGTATTTATGAAAGGGTTGAGCTGTCCAATAGCTGTGAAAAATATAAGCTTCTGTAGGACATTATTTTGAACAAAAACTGTCACAGTCATAAAAATTTGAGGATTTCCGCTTCATTCGGCTCTGTTAGTTGCCAAGATTACGATCGAAAAATTTCATTCTTGAAAAAACTGAACGACATATTTTATTGTCCACAAAGTTGTGCCGATACCTCAGGTATCCGCCTTGACTGAAATAAAATCTTTGCAAGAGTAATTTTCACAATACATTGGCAGAATGTCAAGTGAAATTTTATTGATAATTTTATTTGATAGTTGCTATAAGTGTAGAATCTGGTTTCTGCGAAACTGCGATTAAACGTGTGGTATTTGAAGGAAATAGTTGTGTACATCTAACGAACCAAGAGAAGCTGGCATTGACTTTTGTGTCAGAGGCTAAACAGTGGACTCTCAAGAGTAAAATCAAAGAATAGTAAGAGTTGCATCGACGAGCGCGAATTCCTCAATGACCGTAGTAGCGAGTAAGTTTACGAAGGCCTTGTCAGCATTAGCGACAAGTCCTGGCAAATACCAATTACCCGGCTGCAATGCAGCGGTGCACACAGGCTCGAATAATAATTTATGTTGGGCGCTCGCGCTCGCAAGCGCCGCGGTGGCCGGCGGCGGCAGTGCGGCGGCCGGCCGCCGCGCGCGCCGTTAAAATAAGTCGATCGCTCGCGCGGCGCGCGAGAGTGTCAGCGCGCGCGGCCAGGCGGCTACTTTACTTACTCGCGCGCGCTCGGAGGAAGATGGAAGCCGGCTCTCGGCGCTCTTCCTGTAAAAGGGAAAACGGCGACGTGCCAATGCGAACATAAATCCAAATTAGCGAGCGACATAATGCGCCGTCGCCACCGCCGGCGTCGCTGCACACGCGCTGACCGTGCCGGAGAAATTGCTCTGGCCCGCTTGGCCGCGGCCGTATCGGCCGCCGGAATCGCGACGCGATGCCCCGCTGCCGCCGCCGCCGCCGCCGCCGCTTTACCTCTTTCTCTCTGAGACGCTGGCGGCCGATCGATCTCACTCAACCTGAGATGCGAGCGCGCGCCGCGTCTGTGATTCTTCGAGGGCAAGTGCGATTTCACGCGCGCTTCGCGCGGCTTCGGAAGGGATTGAGCTTTATCGATGCCGCTCTTATTTACACGCACTCACGCTGATTGATCGACGTGTCGACAATCCTTTGCCAATCAATACCTTTTACACTTCTCATTTACACCGTTTGTATTTTATTCTCGTAGGCTCGTCCACCGCCTTCGTCACTTTGACGTTACAGCGTTCCACTTTTTGTCGTCAAATTGGTTTCGCTCCATATGGCAATGCCATCTGATCGTTATTCGTCTTGCCACAAATTAAGATTTCTCAAATGAACGAAACGCTAACAAAAATCCTTGTGGACTGGAAAAAAATAAACCCAATCAATCAATTCACTTGTTATCCCGCTTGCTATTAAATTATTTCGTTTTTTAAGACGGAGTTATTGTTTCTTCAATTGGTACAAAGTCTCTTGTAAAGAGAACAAATCATTGTGCAATTGTATTAAATATCCTCCCGATGTCTGTCGAGTCGAAAGGAATTATGCGATTTATTTTTTTTTAACTCTACTTTATTGATAGGATGGTTAACAATAGAAATTAATTTTGTTTATAAAATAAAGAAAGCATGCTTTTCAAATCTGCCATTTTTATATATTCGAACACATTGTAAATCTCTCTATAGCATTGAATTATGAAAACAACAAAGTAACACACAAGTATTATTACAGATTTCTCGATAATAATATCCATTTTATTAATTATGTAACGCGGAACGTTGTTTCAACCAATTTTACCGACCACTCAATCTTAATTAACTGCAGATGGCAATTCCTTATTTTATAAAAAATTATGTGAATAGGTTAATAATATTCAAACGAATTTAATAATTGATTATTAAGGTTAAAAAAACAATTTTTTTATTATTTTTAACTTTTTCTTGATTGGGTTTTCATCATGAATCCGTTCATTATACTTTTATCTAAATATATCAATAATTATGGTTATCAATATGATTTTATAAACGTCATATTACAATGCATTAACTAATGAAAAGTAAATTGATTTTTATATTTGTTATTGGTATGGCATGTGCATAATTATATATTATGTACTCGCATACCAAAACAATATGTATATATCCAAAATAACATAACTAGCGGCATCTGCTGCCGCCGTGAGGTAACACATTACCCGTACCAGTCGGTAAAAACTAATTGATAACGTTGAAATAAAACCGATAAAAGTAGTGAATGTACTATTATTATGTTATTCTTAAGAATTGTACGAATAAATATTTTGTATAGTTCGCACCGATATGCTTGAAGATTATTTAGGTGAGCATCAAAGGGTTCCGACCATCTCCGAAAGATGGCGAGCGTTAGCCCGCTAAATAAGATCATTTGTAATAGTTCATTATAGTGTTTAATATTAAAGCTGTAGCAAAGCTAATGGATAATCAATTTAAACAAACATTATTTCATCGAATTGAGATGCGATTAGATAAATCCAGTGAAGCTCATTGATTCAAGTAATGTGAAAAAATAAGTTTATTACACGTTGCTAACCACATGTACTCAATAGAGGTGACATACCTTATATCCACAACAAACGCGAAAAAGTTGTTGCTAAGGACGCATATGCAGTTGTGATTTCAGATGCACATACTATAATTTCGATTAAAAATTATATTAATCAGAACAACTTTATACTGTGCTGAAAGTTGAATTATTGACGATGTAACATTCAATTTCTAATTAGTTTATTACTGACAAAATGTAATATTAATTTTGTACGACTTTCGACCCACGGAGTATCTAACCTACAGGTAAGAATAGTAGATTAAATTTTTTTTATATCGAGTGCTTCCAATTAAGGAGTATTATAGAACGACTTGCATCTTATTTACATTGAACACTAATTTTGCTGTGATTATATTGTCGATCTCAGTTTTCAAAAAAAATTCTTTAATAAAAACATTCTAGAAAAATGTCAGAAAACAGACGTAAATTAAGACTGAATAGACTATCCGGTAGTGAAACGAACGATATTGAAGACATATCAAGCCAAAGTTTTGCAGGTGACTCGGGTGACCGTTCACGTAGATCACACAAGGTTTTAATAATTTATTTATATTTAATAGAAATAGAGAGTATTTATATATATTCGTACTTACGATAAAATAAAATACTTTTACAAAGAACATTATTCTGTTCAGGAAAGAAGGTTATCGTCAAGATCATTAAAGATAACAAGAGAAAAACACTATGATTCGGAAGATTATTTTTCTGATACAAGGCACAGAAAAGAAATCCGCAATAAAAAAAAAGCAAAATCTACTTCAAAGGAAAGCGTACAAGAAATTTTGTCAGAAGTAGATGACGATAAAGACGACGATACCTTAGATCATAAGAAAAGTAAGAAACGTCAAAAATCGAAGAAGAGAAACGGGGACCATTCGAATGATAGTACAGGTGAAAGAGATTCTTCATCAGTCAGAAAGGACAGTGAGAAAAGTCGAAGAAAAAAATACCACGAACGAGGTATAACTCATACGAAGCGTGAAAGCTTTTCTATAAAAGGATACTCTTGTCAATATTTCTTGATTGTGAACAACCCTAAATTTTATCATTTTGATAAATTCTTCAAACTTAGATTTTAATTACTTTTGAAATAAAATTCTCCAAAAAGCCTTGTATTTACAACCATTTATGCAATTTATATTTTTTATTATTATAGACAGAAAAGATGAACTACCGATAACTGAAATATTGAAAAAAGCACAAGAACAGCGAACAAAATATGAAGAACCAGCTCCGTTGCCTGAATTGACGACCGATACCATATATGTACAAGGAAAGCATGGTTTCAGTGCTATGAAAATTGGCAGCAGTGGGAAAACATCACGCAGAAGTTTCGATGTTTCGCCAAAACCATTGTGTACCCGACCCATAAACGTAGCGATAGCTTTTCAAAAGTTATGGCGTTCCATTGGTTTAATCTTTCAAGGTCTGTTTGGTGGATTGGCTCTGTTACACTTTATATTTGTAAGATCATTTATCTCAGTCAGATCTGAAATGCTTGTGAAATGAATTGATGACCATAAATAATATTTCATTTTTTCCGCAGATGCGAATATACTTCAATGACTCGGAAGAATTTGTTAATAATTACTCCGTCATGTCAGAAATTTACAGCAGCACGTACTCATTTCTCATTACATTGTGCATTATTACGACATTTGATAAGTAAAGATGTTATATAAGTTGAAATGTTTGAGCTTTCAATTTACAATCGATCGAAAATAATTATTTTATATTATTTTTCAGATTTGACATAGCTCGTGCTGGACTTGATCATTTACGCGAAATTTTTAAACATCATTTGACTTCCATTTTGGCTGTTCCATTGTATCTTGCAGCATTTTCTATACATGAAGTAACAACCAAAGTTGAAGACAAATTGACGTTACTCCATTATAATGGGAGTAATGTAACGTATTATTCGTTTAGCAATATAAATGTAAGTATATTTTGAAGAAAATAAATCAATTCGCATACCTATATTAAAATATACGTATAACACTGACGCACAACAGGAGAGCCATGGTAATATAGAGTTTAACGAGCTGAAGACCTGGCAAAGGATGACGTTGTCAAAGGATGCGTTGGCTGTATTAGGTTGGGTCTTTGTTTCTATAGACAATCACAAGAACATGCTATTGTCTCATCTCGATACCATGGGCAGTTATGTCGAGAATCCTTCTATGTAATCGAGAGAATATGCGTTGTTCTGAGATGATTAGGCTTGTGAGACAGAGACAAGTTTAAATCATATTTACATTGTGCAATGAAAATTTCGAAAATAAATTAATAGCGAAAGACCAAGGAAGAATTGATATGTTTTATCACTCCAAGTGGGAATAGATTTATTGATTTTATTTTATAACCCAATACTTACAGGCTTACTTTTCAAAATTAGGCCTGTAAATCTTATTTATCGAACTACTTTATTTTTTATGACATTTTTTGGTAACTTCGAAAGTAAATCAAGTTTCTTTTTTTCCATTTCAATAAATTTTTTATCTTGCAAATCATTTTTCAGTCGATCGTAAAGTATCTAAAATAACCATATAAAATAGTCAATCAAATAATTTATACATATACGTAACTGTAAAACATAATTTTACTTCTTTTAACGTAGCTATATTTCTTTTTAAGTTTACTACATCTTTAGATAACGAAGAATTACTCATTATTATTAATTTGGCAATATATAAATAAGGTTATAGTTCAAAAGACTGCATGCATGTTTCTCGTGATAAACAAATGAATGTGTGTACCTGTACTGCAAACATCATATTCATGTTGTTAGTACGTAATGAATTAATAGCATTGAAAGTGTAGAACATAGAGGTAACTTACTTGAATATAAGTTCACAACAATTCTTAAAAACATGATAGGCATCGAAAAAAATCAAGGCATTAATTTTTCTTTTATAATTTTATTCATAACAGAATAGCGGTTGATATGTACAGTATTTATAAGATTGTCTAAGTACTAATTACATAACTAAAATTTGTCCATATATTTTATATATTTCGATACTTGATGCAAATAATATTAGCGTAAATAATTATAATATCAATAGTTTTAATAATATTACGAATAATAACAAAACAATAATAAAATAGGTATAAATCTTTGTTCTTTATTATTTATTAGGTACGCCGTTTAATTTACAGCGATTTTTTGTCATAATATATGTTATGCCTTATTATGAAGGCTTTCTTTTGTTTCTCCAAAGAACGTCGACGAATAATCTATATTAATAAGGCGTGTGCAATTTGCAGTGCTAGAAGACTTAGATGTACGAATTTTTGATAAATACTGATCAAATGAATAGTTTTTTTATTATTTGTTTTCGGCAAACTTATAATATTAAACATTGCATTGAATCATCAATATATACATTGGCTAAAATTCTCTTACAGTTTAACAAGGCACTGTATACAGTTCTCTAATAGCCAAAGTGCTATTCGTGTAATTTTTTTTGACATTTTTTTACATTTCATCTACAATTCATTACACCGAAATAGATATTTCTTTTATGTGCATTGTACAAAAATCTAATAGTTTAATTTTTTTCTTTGTACACATACATTTTATTAAGTTTGATCAAAACCGGTTCTTTTTTTATTTAAAAAAATTGAACATATGATTGTAGATTCGCTTTCTCAACTTCGATGATCAGTCAAAACAGATGGAAATTACATGACGTGAACAAAATTTCAAACTATGACATTAAAAACTTGTATTTGATTTTGGATATTCTACGCGTGCAGCATAATTATTTCAGAAAATAATAAAATGTTAGATCCGTAAATGGGTTCGCATTGACAAGGGATGATACCCAATTTCTGTTAAAAACATTCCGAACACGCGGAATCAATATAGATTTTTTGCATATTTACGTTTTTCATTGACTAGTATCGGCCTCCGCAAAAACTTTTCAATTTTCGCCCTTTACGTTTCTCGCCCGCGCCGGTCATTGTTTACAGTATTGTAGCGCTTAATTACATTTTCTCATATGTACAGTGAAATGAGAGATTTTGATTTCGTAACTAAAAATATAATACAAATGTTTATGTTGGTGATTTAAAAACATTTTTCACTGACACAAAAATAGTTTGCGAGTATTTATATAAATATACTTGTTCTGCTATTTTAAAATTGTTTTTTATACCAATTTTCAGAACGTGTTTAAATACGTATCAAAATTTAATTAAAAAAAATATAAGAAAAATGCATTAGTAGCTGTGAATAATAGCTTTATAGAAAAATTAATTGTTTTTTGGTCATTGAATGCAGTTCTGCATGATACAAATATCTAGCAAGATCAAAATGAGCTGCATTATAGGGTAAAACTTTCGTATTAAAAAACGTGTGCTGCAACGATAATAATTCTAAAACGTTTATCTAGTGTACATTCAAGATCTAAAACATTTGCACATTGAAAAAAAGCACATAGCCATGGCAGTAGTAGTCGATAAAAAATGACGGGTTCGTTACATATTTCTTTTTAAACATATTTGTGCTCTTATAATATATCATCTACACAGCGTTTTCATAAAATTTTTATCTCGCGCGAGATTCTTATTTCCAAATTCATGCAATTTGGCTTTCGTACCCTATTATTTTGTATCGCATTCTTCGAGCTATCGATTCACTAAGTGATAAGCTTCAACAAGTTACGATAACAGTCGGATAAACTGTCGAGTGTATCGCATCAGAAATGATCGCAAACGTTCGCACATACGTTTTGGAACCGTATCGCCCATCGATATATCACCTCGACATAAATATTCTTAGATCTAATTGTGTTGAATAATGTTTGTTTTCTTGGAAGATCGGCAAATTGAACTATGTACAAACAGCGAGCAGTAGTGCGACAATCTCTGATGGGCGATAGCAGCAATTTCGTGTGTTTAGATTCGGTTGGAAGGCTGTAAACATGGTAGCGTCGCGAGGTCGTGATAGGTAGTAGCGCGAACTTGACATAAAGTTCCACTCTCGGTTCTCCCTTTGTATTGTGAAAAGTCGTCCGTACACTGGTTGATATTTGGACGCATTAGAGGGACCGAGAGGAGTCGCGCTACTACCGTACGTCCTATCTGGCGGGATCCTGGGCGTAGCGGCACCAAGAGTGCCCGTTGTTGTTAGCCTCCACGTAAAGCAACTCTCAGTCGTCGAAGTCGTGCCTGAGCTTAATATAGAGGCACGAGCCCAAAATAATGCCGAACACTTCGAGGACCGATAGTCCTAGTCCCACAGCGCCCAGGATTATCAGGTGGTCTTTCGTCGTCTCAAGGAACTTGTAGATACAACCCTGCAAGCGTACAAAACTTGATAGTCACAAAAGTTTTCACGCAAATTGAGCTAGACTCGGAGCTGGAATTACCGTGTACTGAATGTTTGACGGGTGAGTCCTTTTGCCGCACAGATAGCTGGGCGTTTTGCAGCAACTGTCTGGTACGAGGCTCCCGTCTCTTTGAACATTCTCGTCTCTTATCCATTCGCTCGACATCCAGTCTTCGAATCTAATAGCACCGCAGCATTTGAACTGTAAACGAAGATAAAAAATTACGGTGAGTTTTGCGTATCGACATTTATGCACTTTACGAGCAAATTTTCACGAAAACTTTCAATAATGCTTCCTCATTTCATAAATAATATAATCTAATTTTTCTCAAAAAAATGTTCGTAAAAACCTAGACCATAACTTTTCTTCGACTTTTGGTTGCGCGATTGGCACGGACAAATCGTGAACGCTTTGAAATTGCTCGGTACCTTGGTTGACAGGCCTCCTCGTAAAATAGTGACGAAACGACAAAGAAGTTGCTCTTAGCATAGAAAAAAGCTCGAATGAGCGAGCACCCCGTAGAAATGGGACAGCGCCTAGTGTACATATACACAAGATATTCGGTTAAATCGGCGCAGTAAATACACAGCCGTGAAAATTTTCATGGCGTCGCGCACTCGCACGACCTAACGGCTCCTCGCGCGCGCTACGCGGATTATACGGGGCGCCGTTGAATCTGGTCCACGCGCACACTTATGCATGTATACGCGTAAACGTCGACTTGCGCGCATCATTAATCTTCGCGACGTATAAAACGACTACTGGCTCGCGCCGCTGGCTGCCTGTATTCGCGCGTGTAATATTCCCCTATCCAGTGTATATCCTCTTAGCTTGTTTACCTTGGCTTAGTTTACTAAACTTTATTATAATCACACATGCTGATATTAGCTCTGCATAATACTGTTTTTGTTTTTACTTCATTTTCATTGATTACTTTATCATTGCGTTGAAATTTCATTACGAGCTAACAACATGAATTCGAAACTAGATCATATTTCAATTTTTCATATTCAAATCTTTTTAAATTTAAGCGTTAAAATAATTTTCCATTAAAGGCATCATAGCATTAATAGCGATCTAACTGCTCCACCAAAGAGCACTACGGTACAAATGGAATACATAAAGTCCTCCAACGCAGGAAAAAGTTCGGAGAAACTCGTTTACTAACAAGATCTATGAATAAATTTATAGCAACCTAAACTTCGTTATAGTGAGCAGCAGGTAGCATCGCTTGCACAAAAAAAATGAAGTAACAACGACGAAAGATAAAAAGAAAACTTTGCCGACTAAAAGCATACATATATAGAAGGATGGTGACGGCAAAGGTAATGGAGGCGCTGAAACTTTTCTGCTTTTACTTTTTTTTTAGTCTCTTGAGCCTCCCTATCACTTCAAAGCGCGAATAAACGTGCGCGTGCACGTGCGCGCGCTTGGACGTGTATTCGGTGTGGCACACATCAGTGAGAGTAGCGGGCAGCATCAGGCAACAACAAAAGGGCAAGGTAAAGTGAAAAAAAGGCTTTTTTTTCAAGGAGTTTTGAATTCGTAGTATAAACAATCACGGAATACTGAATCAGTTGACACGCATTTGAACAATCGAAGCGATAGTTTCTTTCGAGACATGCGAAACGCTCGAGCCATTACCGTTCGAAAGCGTGAATATGCTTTTTTTTTCCAGAATGGCGGAACTTCGTGTTTATCAGAAGAAACGTATTACGCGGCATTTGAAGGGATCTCACGCGAGAACGCAATCCTATGAAAGACGTGATGATGCCGCGGAGCAGCGCACGCGTTCTGAATCGATATGTTCAATACCCAACGGTGCTTTTTCTCGCGAGCGTTTCTGTGCGATATTTTTTTCAGCGCGAGATTTCTCACGTTATGGCCAGGAACGCGAAAAATGTATTCAAAATGCACGTTGATGCTGCAATGCCTTACAAATTTGAACACACATTTCAGATTGGGTAAAGGAAATCTCGATTGATTCACAAACATTTTCTCATATCCGATTTCACGATTGTTTCTAAAATAAATGTCCCCTTAGAAATCTCAAGTTGCAGTTAAAACAGAAGTCGTATGTGATTCCAGAATATATATATATATATATATATATAAACTTATGGGAGCGGCAGCTTATCGAGATGAGACAATCGTGAACGGCACCTCCCGAGAAATGGCGACAAGTACGCGAAATACATCCATAAATAAAATATCCGCAACGTCGTTGCCTCTGTGCCCCGTAGCAGCCGTGTACAATTGCGACTGCAGCGTAAATAAAACAAGACGGGAGAAAGAGAGAAAGTAAGTGCACGCGCGCGCTAGCGATATCGTACAGCGTAACGGATGGCAGTAGTCTCGTGGAGACTTTTATATGCGACTCCTACAGCGATAAAGAAGCCGCGTAGTGCAAGAGAGAGAGAGAGAGAGCGCGCGAGAAAGGACGGGGAGGGGGATGGGCGAAAAGCCCATTACCGCGACACTCCACCAACGATCCAAGCGTGTACCGTGTGGCGCGGCTGGCTTCTCCTCAGCCATCGCCTTGCGGACCTTCTTACTTTGAGAAATTTGTCGGCAGCGACGAACAGGCTATATCAAGAGACTTTGCTGCTCTATCTATAGCTACTCCCTGGCCGATAGATCTTATGTAGGTAATTGCACCCGGCATCGGCTCGATCGAAGAAGGTTTTTCTTTGTCGTTCGTCACTGAGAAATTGGCTTTAATTGTAATACTTTGCTATCGAGTAGCCGTATATAATGATCGTATAACACTCCAATAATCAATAATTAGAATGATACGATGAATATATCTTATAAGTATATTGTATTTTCTACAAATTTTCTCTTACAATAATTATGTCTAGAAAAATTCCCGAAGAAACCGTCGGAGCGCAACAAATTTTAGTAAAATTCTTCCCTTACTTCGAGCTGCATTTGATCAATAGCAGCAGTTTCTCTGGACTTCAATGAATAAGTCTCGAGAAAAGTGCGATTCAAATTCATCCTGAGCTCTGGTCCCACCTGTTCCTCGTATAAGCGGGCCATTGCGCCAACTCCCGCTTCCAACACGAAGACACCCATAACCACGAAAATGTACTGAAACAAAAATTAAGAAATAATGTATTAATTTTTGCAAAACCATGAAAGATTATTGGTAAGAAGAGGGATTATCCTGTAGGATGTTAATAAATTAGTTATACGTAATTATTAACGTATTAAGAATACATGAGTATTGAAGTGATGATATTACACTATGAAAAAGAGCACTAAGAAAACACGTCCTCTTAGAGCGAAAGGTTTCTTTTTTCTGAGCCAATAATGTTGCAGCAAGAAGAATTCCGCTTCTAACGAAATTTCTCTTGCCAGAATGACTCGATACAATGTATATTCCTGATTCATGTGGCGTTTGCGTCCGAATGAAACGAGTGTGGTAAGGCACACGAAACAAAAATCTACTTGTTACGACTTGTACCAAGTTCGATTTTGAGTAAACACTTTTGAATGTCGCGCTTTGCCCCCGGAGCGTCGAAAATATCATCCATACCACTGCGTGGCTTGAAATCATTAAGCTCGCTAGCGCTGATGCCCCAACTTCACAGTGCATAACTGCCTCATATCTTAAATCACGCATAGATGAACCGTATATGTCGATTTAAGAATCGGTACTATGAAAACGTTGTACGATACCTTTCACTCGAATATCACGCCGTGTAATAATGGACTACTTCAGTCACACATATTGCAATATACCACGCACTGCGCATAAAGTATTGACTATACGCCCTCCTAGCAAGAAGCGCATGGACTGCTATGGAAAGTACATTTGCTTCGCACGGTCGGCGTTTCACACAGTGCGTGGCTTGCCTAATGCCGTGGTGCATATATGATTTTTCCGCACACCTCCATAAAAGGATGATGCTCCGCTCTCAGCAGGTGACACAGAACCGCATGGATTGTCCAAAAGTAAAATCGGTTGTGTACGTACAATGTATGTTATGTTGCCCGGGTTATATTCTGGTTGACGCTCTAACTAATTTTTATATTTTCTATTTCGCTCTATTACACATATCTTTCCTTCTTCCTTTTTAATATGTTAATTTTCGTTTCGAGATTAAAATTCCGTTTTCAAATTTGCAAATTCACTTAGAATTGGTTCATACATCTGACGATTTTTGTTAGAAATAGCGTAAACAGTGTACGTGAATTTGACCAGTTAATTTGTAACAAAAGTGCTTGTTGTGCAAAATTAGGTTTCATTTTAATATAGGTATTATTCCATATTGCGTATTTGTCTTTGCTTATCAAATAAATCTTATAAATTTAATTTGTAATTACTTCCATGTATTAAAAAACAAATTAATCAATATATAAGTTTGTTTCTTCTTCTCAGTATTGAAAAGGTTGATACAAAACGTCTCCAAAATGTTAGCCAATTTTTAAATTACTAGAATTTGAACAGCGCATGCACTAACCTACATTTTTATTGTCCATAGGCACGATAAGAAAATTAAACACGATTAATAATTATTGATTGATTATTTCATTATTGTTATGAAATATTTTGTCAAAGAAAGAAATTGTACGTTTGTAAAATAATTAACAGAATAAAAGAGCCCGTACGAATCTTATGGAAAATGGATCCCGGTCAAATTTTCCTGTAACTTCAGTAAGTAATTTCTCTTGGGGCTCTGATCAAAAGCTCTCATGAGCGCAAAGTCTAAAAACTTATAGTTAGGGAGATGAAATAGGGTCAAAGTCATGATATTCTATCAGTTAATATGTATCTCTTTTAATGAAATCAGCTTGAAAGTTGGGTGATTACCTCCCAAAGGGTCATTTTAGGGCATATATACATATGTGTGTGTATGTATGTATGTATGTATATGTGTATATATATATATGTATACGGTTTTTTGGGACCCGAAAACCATTATACATTTTATATACACACCCCTAGTTCTTCCCATGCACAAGCCTTCACCTATAGATAGGCTCAGCTCTTACGAGTTTAAGAAACCTTTACAGGGTTAATTGGACTTAACTCCCGAGTTTCATTATGTTTCTTTATGGAATATGATTGTGCTTCTTTAGTAGAAGGAGGTGAAATAGTTTCTGCAAGGATGCAAAGAGCTTTTATCAAAGCACAAAACAGCGTAAACTAAAAGGGTATATGAATCGACACTTATGTTGTCGTCCCTATACTCATGGTGGCGTAATCTTAAGTATAAGTTACCCTAATCCACCCTCTGAGGAGTATTAATCACCCAACTTTCAAGCTGGTTTCATTAAGATCACATTAGGAACAAACAGGGCGTCCATCTAAGAGCCATTGACGCACACATTAACTGATATACGGGGGCTAGCCACAAACCATGACTTTGACCCTATTTCATCTCGCTAACTATAAGTTTTTAGACATTGCACTCGTGAGAGCTTTTGATCAAAACCCCAAGATGAATAACTTACTGAAGTTACAGCAAATTTGAACGAGATCCATTTTCCACAAGATTGGTGCGAGATCCTTTGAAAAATTTAATAATCATGAATGTAGTTTTTTATAAACATAATTTTCAACATTTGTATTTTCTCTTTGATGACCACCAAAATAAATTAGGAGGGGATGCCAAGATCGAATATGAGAAATGGCTACATAAGGCTGTTCGTGATTAAAAACATTTCTTCGTAGATCTATGTCAACTTCATCAAAAGTTTGACCTTGCACTTTATTTATTACGATCACAAAGGCTAATTTAACTGGAAACTATCTTTGTTTGAAAATGAAAGGAAATACATCTTAACAATATAAAGTTATACAAAACTGATGCCTAAACTCCTTTTTTTTAAAAGCAAACAACACCCCTGGCTTTCTCACAATTTTCAGGACTTTTGTCAGAGATTGCAATTAATGTAGAGGGGTATATAGCTTTTTGATTTTCTGCTTTCTAATAATAATCAGAATGGAGGACAACGAATTTTTTTCAAAACTAAATTTGATTTAAATAATTAATATTTTGAATAAAATATAATTTACGTATATGCGAATAATTTTAATTAAAAATATTAAAATGATTTTGTATATTTATATTTAAACAAAAATCAAAATTAGCATAATTTTAATGAAACTGTTTTTAATTAGATTAGGTCAGATTCAAACAGAAACATGCGCACTGCACGAGCCAATTAGATAGCGTTTATCTTTGTTTCAAAATATCCGGTCATGACATTTTTATAAGGGGAATAGATCGAAAAGATCCTAAGGGGGAAAACTTTTTTAATTAATTACCAGAAAAACTCTTGTACATCAATAGGAATAATTCAAATTGAGTCTATGGTCGATAAAAATTATTTTATTAGAGTATGATTAAATTTATTTTTTATTGTGAGAGAAATTAGACAAATGATTAACTGTAATCTATAGAGGAGTATATATCACTTCTTTCAATTTTTTCTCCGCAGCGACCACGATATGCCATTAAAATATCTGTAACAAAATCGGTATAGAATTAGAAATGTAGTAACCTATTACCGATTAAGAAAAGTTAGGAACCTCATCTTTGAAGTATCTATCTTTACAAACATAATGGCATGAAAATGGAACTTACGTAAAGTTGAAGCATCGAATCTTGCGTATTGATTGATTCATCAGCATTTTTTCTCGACTAATTAGCAAAACTGTAATGGCGGCAGTCGGAAGGAAAAAAAAACACGCATTCTCAAGCTAATTTAGATTCAAGTAACTTCACATAACGACCCATTTTGATAGAAAAGTTTAAAATGCTTATATTTCAGTTTTCCTGAAACAACTGCTTTGCATTTTTAAGAAATTAATCATAAAAATATTAAAACAATCCTATAGGTTTATTTTGTTCTCAAGTGTTTTATTTTAAAAATAATGTTAAATTATGTCCAAATAAATAAAAATGTATTGTCGTTCAATTTCTATGTTGGATTGAAAAAAACGAGCGTACGTGAAAAAAATGACCTCAAATACTAAAAATCAGTGATTATCACATGCTAAGAATTATACGACATTTGTATGATTTAAACATCTTCATACATAGCTACTTGAAACTTTTAGTAGCTCTACCTGAAATCTTAAATTAAATATAGAAAAAAATTACGTCGTAGCGTTGATAGAAAATTTTCAGAGTATCTCTCTAATAATAATGAATAATTTTTCATTACTTTATACAACAAGTTGTCAAACTAAAATGCGCATAAAATCTTTTTTGTGAATCACACCTATGTTGGTTCAATATTTTTTTTATTCGTGAAATGCCTATTTTTGAGTAGAAAAAACATTAAGTACATCTACTAGAAAATTCAAAAACAAAAATTTAAGCTCGTGTAAAACTTGAAAATCGAAAATGAGATAAACCAAAATTAAGGGTGCCTTAAAATTTGGATTATTCCTCTGTGTGTATTTATGATGAATTGAAAAGCTTGTAAGTCTTTTCCATATTTTGCGTTAAATCCGAAAAAAATCAAATAAGCTATTAAGGAGATAATTTTTTTTTCGAGATTGTCATTTATATATAAATTAATTGAAATTTTTTATTTCCACCACAATTACTTTAGAAAGACTTTTGAATTATAAGCTGAATTTCTTTCCCGGTCTTTCAAACTTTTCTTACAAAATGGCAGCTGTGCGAAGTTTCTCGTGACAAAAATAACTTGAAAATAGTATACGCATCGCGTGTACGATATTAATAAGCTCAGAGCGCGTGCTTGACACCCTCGGCTTCTCCTTAAATGTCAATTTATACACACTATTGACTTGTCAATACTTTTGTGGCTTTGGGTTGTAATCTACTATTCTCGCACTAGTATAGAAATGTATTAGTCCCGTACTTTTTAGCAAAACAATATTTTTCACGATTATACTGTTTATGAGATAACAATTGCTCTGAATTGCAGATCATAAAATATTGTTAGAAGTTTATGTTATAAATTTCTAATAATAAATATACCATTAAAAAAAATTGTTTTAAGGCTTAATCAATGGAAATTTTTCGACGCGGATAATGTACTTTTTTCCTTTTCTGATTGTTACCACAATTTTCCTAATTAGTCGAGATGAACCATTAACAAATTAA